AGGTTTTTATTTTATAGATTTATTTATCTCTATGTGTATGAGTGTTTTGTCTACTTGTATGTAATAGCATCATCTGCATACAGTGCCTAGTGTATACTCTACCACAGACAGCTATAACAATGTGACTATCTTTTCTTTTTTCAATTACAACTATTTATTTGTTTGTTTATTTTTATTGATATTCATTGAGCTCTACATTTTTCTCTGCTCCCCTCCCTGCTTTTCTCCTCCCCTTCCAATCATTCTTCAAGGTCGCCATGCTCCCAGTTTACTCAGGAGATCTTGTCTTTTTCTACTTTCTACTTCCCATGTAGATTAGATCTATGTAAGTCTCTCTTAGTGTCCGCATTGTTGTCTAAGTTCTCTGGGATTGTGGTTTGTATGCTGGCTTGCTTTGCTTTATGCTTAAAAAGCACCTATGAGTGAGTACATGTGATAATTGTCTTTCTGTGTCTGGGTTACCTCACTCAAAATAATGTTTTATAGCTCTGTCCATTTTCCTGCAAATTTCAAGGAGTTTTTATTTTTTTCTGCTGTGTAGCACTCCATTGTGTAAATGTACCACATTTTCCTTATCCATTCTTTGATCGAGGGGCATTTAGATTGTTTCCAGGTTCTGGCTATGACAAACAAAGCTTCTGTGAACATTGTTGAGCACATGTCCTTGTGATTGAGCATCCTTTGGATATATACCCAAAAGTGGTATTACTGGATCTTTAGGAAGGTTGTTTCCTAATTTTCTGAGAAATCACCACACTGACATCCAAAGGGGTTGTACTAGCTTATATTCCCACCAGCAATGCAGTTTTCCCTTTTCCCCACAACCTCTCCAGCATAAATTCTCATCAATGTTTTTGATCTTGGCCATTCTTACAAGTGTAATATGGAATCTCAGAGTTGTTTCTATTTGTACTTCTCTGATGACTAAGGATGTTGAACATTTCCTAAAGTGTCTTTCAGCCATTTTAAATTCCTCTGTTGAGAGTTCTCTGTTTAGGTCTGTACACCATTTTTTTTTTTATTGGATTATGTGATCTTTTGGTCTCCAGTTTCTTGAGTTCTTTGTTTATTTTGGAGACCAGACCTTTGTCTGATGTGGGGTTAGTGAAGATCTTTTCCCATTCTGTATGCTGTCGTTTTGTCTTGTTGACCGTGTCCTTTGCTTTATAGAAGCTTTTCAGTTTCAGGAGGTCCCATTTATTAATTGTTTCTCTCAGTGTCTGTGCTGCTGGGGTTCTATTTAGGAAGTGGTCTCCTGTGCCAATGTGTTCAAGTGTACTTCCCACTTTCTCTTCTATAAGGTTTAGTGTGGCTGGCTTTATGTTGAGGTCTTTGATTCATTTGGACTTGAGTTTTGTGCATGGTGATAGATATGGATCTATTTTCATTCTTCTATGTGTTGATATCCAGTTATGCCAGCACCGCTTGTTAAATATACTTTCTTTTTTCTATTTGATGTTTTTTGCTTCTTTATCAAAGATGATGTGTTTGAAGATGTGTGGATTGATATCTGGGTCTTCTATTTGGTTTCATTGGTCCTCCTGTCTGTTCTTATGCCAATACCAGGCTATTTTCAGTACTGTAGCTCTATAGTAGAGTTTGAAGTCAGGGATTATGATGCCTCCAGACGTTCTTTTATTGTACAGGACTGTTTAGGCTATCCTGGGTTTTTTGCTTTTCCATGTGAAGTTGAGTACTGTTCTTTCGAGGTCTTTGAAGAATTTTGCTGGGCATTGCGTTGAATCTGTAGGTTGCTTTTGGTAAGATTGCCATATATACTATGTTAAATCTACCCACCCAAGAGCATGGGAGATCTTCCACTTTCTGGTGTCTTCTTCATTTTTTTTTTCTTCAAAGATTTAAAGTTCTTGTCATACAAGTCTTCTACTTGTTTGGTTAGAGTTACTCCAAGATATCTTATGCTATTTGTGGCTATTGTGAAGGGTATTGGTTCTCTGATTTCTTCCCTAACCCTTTTATCATCTGTGTGACTATCTTTTCATGTGTAATTGTGTGTGTGTGTGTGTGTGTGTGTGTGTGTGTGTAAGAATATGTGCAAGTGCATTTGAGTGACTTAATAGCAGGGACATGGTGACACATGCCTATAATTTCAGCAACACCAGCCTTAAGATCTTTGTGGGGGGGGGTTGCTAGCTTTTAGGATTCTTATTGAGCTGAATGAGTTCTTTATATATGCTGGAAAACTATCAGTCCCAATAATACGTAGATGAAAATAATTACTATGGTTTGCAAACTTTGGGGAAAATGGAGAAGTGAGGCATGGCACACGAACTGGGTGCTGAACACAGCCAAAGCTATAAACACCCCATGGATACTGATAGGTTTACAGGCATTCACAGTACAGGCTCACAGAATACCAACACCAGTGACATGCTTCAGTGAAAATCCTAACCACACATAATGAAGGGCCTCTCCCATAGCCATACAGTCCCTACCACACACAACAAAGGGCCCCACCCATAGCCACACAGTCTCTACCACACCCACGAAGGGCCCCACCCACAGTCACTCAGGCTCTTCATCTTACTACAGATGTGCTCATGACCTGGATGCTCCACCCCTACTGAATGAGGTAATCTGAGTGCCTGCATCCAACAGAACCATAAAAGTTTGACTCCTTCCTCAAAAGAAATGGAAAGACATAGCCATGAACCTTGAACTTAATGTTTACAGCAGGGTTACCGTAGCAGTTTCAGACTGAGAAAGTTCCGATGCCCAGTACTAACTGGACGGATACACAAAGTGTGGGAGAGCTATGCAGTAGGATATACTTAACAGTCAGAAGGAAGAGCTGGTGCTGAGAGCAGCAGTGCGGATCCGTCTCAGAGTCATGCTGTGTGTGTGCACAGGTGTCTGCCACAGAAGGTCGACTCAGTAACTAGTTCAGCGGAGTTGTTTCGTTCTTCCTTTACATCAGTGGTTCTCAACCTTCCTGCTGCTGTGACCCTTTAATACAGTTCCTCATGCTTTGGTGACCCCCAACCATAAAACTATTTTTGTTGCTACTTTATAACTTTAATTTTACTTCTGTTATGAATATTAATGTACATATCTGATATGCAAGATGTCTGATTTGAGACCATAGTAAAAGGGCAATCTGACTCTCAAAGGGGTCCTGACCCACAGGTTGAGAAGCACTGCTTTACACGTGCTAAGGTGGGGCTGGGAAGAGGGCTCAGCGGCTGAGGTTAAGAGTACCAGTTGTTCTTCCCGAGAACTGCGGTTCATTCTAACACCCATGTGGGGTGGCCCACAGCAGCCTGTGATTCCCTCCAGGGGTCAGATATCTGCCATCTAGTTGTTTGGTAGGTGGATTGCATTTTTGACTTAAGCATTTTATGATTGTTTTTGTGGGACAGTGTCTTTCACTGAGGAACATCTATCTGTACACGATTTCCTGTACATGAAGTTCTAGTGTGAGCAAAAATACAAAGCTGTTGTGATAGACAACACTCATGTAGTGTGGGCTTTCAGGACAGGGAGTTGACTGTGAAGGCTTAGGCTTATTTTAGTCACCAGCGTTTATGATAGTATAATTTTGCAGTTAAAATGACTAACTTTGGAATCTTATAAACCAGAGTTTGAATCCTGCCTCTACCATTCACTTTTGCCTTGGACAATTATTTAACCTTTCTACATTTTTTAATCTATGAAATAGAGCAATGCTACACGAATCAGAGGTTTGGGGAGGAAACTTACGCCATCTTTGCCATAGTAAGTGCTCTATACTGATGGCTTATTTTGGCAGCAGTAATATTTGCCATGGCTACTAAATATAGTTTGTAGTTTGTATGTGTTTCTCTTTAGTGTAACACAGGCTGCCCTAGAACGTGCCACAGTCCTGCTCAGCTTCCCAGGGCTGAGATTACGGGCCGTGTTCCTTGCCAGCTATATGTGCCACTCTTCATTTTTCAGTGCTTGTTATGTATTTTAAAGAAAATAAGATGGGTGTGGTGATGCCACCTGCAGTGCTAGCACTCAGGAAGCTGAAGGATTGAGCCAGTGGTGAGATGACATCATGCCTCCAAGAAGAAGAGGAAGAGTTGCTGGGGGGGTTCGAAAGGGTTTTGAAGTTCTCTGAGCAAACACTTGACTGTTGTCTAGTCTAGACATGCTGGGCTGCTTTAATACATGCTGGTACCGGAATTCACTCTTTTATTGGACACTCTAAAGATTTTTAGGTAAAAGCATTACAGCTGATTTGTCCATAATCTGGACTTACTTTTTTTTTCTCTTGATGGTGACTGCTGTATATATTTTCTTCTTTTTATATTTATTTTTATTTCTTATGTATTTGTTGCCTGCATGTATATATGTGCGTCGTGTATGTGCCTGGTACCCGTGGAAGTCAGAAGAGGGCTTTGGCTCCTCAGGAACTGGAGTTCCAGAATGTTAGGAGCCACCATGTGAGTGCTGGAAACTGAGCACTGTGCTTTGCAAGAGCAACAGTTGCTCTTACTTGCTGAGCCAGATTTCTAGATGTGTAAATTCTTAACTAGTTCCCCTTTGACACTTTAAATGGCAGAGGATTTGAAAATCTTTCCAAAGAAAAGTTCCCTTAGTGTGAAGTTAATTGATTAGACTTGGGCCCCATAGTCTAGAAACTCCATTAACATTTAGTAGATGTTTCTAACAGTAGTGCTCTATGGAGGACCAAGATAGACCATTGAAGATTTACAGATAATTCCATATCCTAGATTCTTAAAAGCTATGATTTGTGAAAATGGTGAAATCTAGATAAATATCCAGAATGTTCTTTATTTAATTACTAATTTCAGCACTGTTGGTTTTGTTATTTACATTTTTCCTGAATGTATTTTTGAAAATCTGCTTTATCTGTGAGTTCGAGACCAGCCTAGTCTACAAGAGCTAGTTCCAGGACAGGCTCCAAAACCACAGAGAAATCCTGTCTCGAAAAAGCAAAAAAAAAAAAAAATCTGCTTTAAAACCTGGTAACAGTGTTTCCTCTTTTCTTCCAGCACCTGGGCATCTTCCTAGAAGCAGAGCGATCATGGAGGTGGTGCCGGCTGAGGTGAATAGCTTGCTTCCAGAGGAGATAATGGACACTGCTATAACTTTAGTGGATGAGGATAGTATTGAGGCTGTAATTGTGTCATCCCCAATTCCCATGGAGACAGAACTGGAAGAAATTGTCAACATAAATTCTACTGGTGACTCTACAGCCACGCCCATTTCCACGGAACCCATCACAGTGTACAGTAACCACACTAACCAAGTTGCAGTGAATACCACAGTTACTAAAGCAGATTCTAATACCACAGTGAAACCAGCATTTCCAAGTGGCCTTCAAAAACTTGGTGCTCAGACTCCTGTGACTATATCAGCCAATCAGATTATTCTAAACAAAGTATCACAGACATCTGATCTTAAACTTGGCAATCAGACCCTTAAACCAGATGGACAGAAGTTAATTTTAACAACTTTGGGCAAATCTGGTTCACCAATTGTTTTAGCACTACCCCATAGCCAACTACCCCAGGCTCAGAAAGTTACAGCTCAGGCCCAGCCAGGAGATGCTAAGTTGCCACCGCAGCAAATTAAAGTAGTTACCATTGGAGGGGGGCCAGAGGTGAAACCTGTCATTGGTGTCTCAGCACTGACCCCAGGAAGTCAACTGATTAATACTGCAACTCAGCCCTCTGTGTTACAGACCCAACAGTTAAAAACAGTGCAGGTAAAAGCAACAAAGTGGGCATATTACTTAAAGTGCATGTTAAAAAATTAAACTGACTCAAAGTTGTGTTTATAGGGTTGTTAATTGCATAACTTCTAATGAATTCTTTTGAATGTTTTAAAGTAATTGTATGAATTTGTTTTGTTTTTAAACTTGGTATGTCTAATGCTCATGAAACGTTTTACCAGAAAACTTCATAGCAAACTAAATTTTGGTTAAATTTCTGAATTGTTTATTTATAGCTTTTTAAAGATTTTATGCACAGTGATAGTTTGCCTACAAGAGTATTGTTTTGCTGGCATAAAGATGCCCTACTTACTTACTGCAGAGCCATCAAGTAATCAACCTTTCTTTTTTATTGGTTAATTAATGACTAAAGGCTAAACTTTGCTGCTCTGAGAACCGTTGGGTGCAGCGATAGCTGATGCTCACCAGCGTTTGTTTATCTTACTTGGAGCTTTTTTGTCCATCGTTCATGTTTGCAGTGTGAGGAAGACAGTGAATAGGATGGGGCAGAGCACTGGGCTTGTCTCCCTGTGCTGTCCTGCTGACTGTGGAGCTGGGGCAACTTCCTCTCTGAAGTTTTACCTTAGCTTAAGATGGCTACTTGATCATATAACAAGACAAAACAAAGCAATATAGAATTGCACAGTTCTTAAAACATTGAAGATCCTTCAGAATAGCACTTAATGGTATGAAAAATACTCTCAAATACCTCAAATAGCGGATTACCAGGCCATACATGAAATGTTTTTCTTTCTTTTTTTTTTTTTTTTAATGTCCAGAAAAGCCTCTTTAGGATAGCAGAATGCTTAGAAATATCTAGAAATATAGTGATTCACTTACGAGAAGGAAAACACAGTACATTCCATGTTTGGAAGGTTGTCTTTTAAAAGAAACCAGGAGGTAGTCAGCTGTGGCTACACTTGGTAGGTAGAGGCAGGCAGATCTCTGTGAGTTCCAGGGCAGCCAGGAGTACACAGGGAAGCCCTGTCTTGAAAAACCAAAAAAAAAAAAAAAGAAAGAAAGAAAGAAGAAAGACAGACAGACAGACAGACAAGAAGGTATGAGCCAAAGTAGCAAAGGAAGGAGTGTAAGGAATTTGGGAGAGGTATTTCCTTTTAGCTGATATTTACATTCAAGTTTTGGTTTCTGTGTTGGAAAAGAATTAGAGACGTTAATTCTCAGGAACTTTGCATTAAGAAGCTTAAACTTTTTCAAGTCTTGTAACTTGCTGTATCCTTTCTGCTGTTATTTAATAGTTCATGTTCTCCATCTTTGTTACCTCAAGCTTTAATTAGTTTATTTATTTTTTTTGCTGAGGCGCTCTTGAATGAGCTAGCCTAGCCTATCACTGTTAAGTATCCTGTCCTTAGTATTGAAGCCTGTTTTGATTGGCCTTGGCAGTGTGGATCACTATCATGGTCTCAAAGAACTAATGATAGAAATCAAAGTGATTTTTTTTTCATTCATGAGAGCAGTGTACAGTTTCAATAAGTAATTTATTTCTATCCATTAATTTCCTACTCTTATTTTCTAAGTATTGATAGTAAAAGACTCTGGCCTAACACTCACTTCTTTTTATTGTTGTTGGTTTTATAAAGACTGATTCCATTTGTTTAAAAGTTATGTTTCTTAAAAGAATATATAGCAGAGTTGGGCGTGGAGGAACATGTCTTAATCCCCGCATTCAGGATGTAGAAACAGGCGGATCTCTGAGTCTGAGAACAGCCTGGTCGACATAATGAGTTCCAGGACAGCAAGAAGGACGATAAAGTGAGACCCTGACTCAAAAACAACAACAACAAAAAAAAAAACAATAGATAAGTAAATTAATTAATTAAATAATTGAAATAAACAGCAGAAAACCAAGGAAACATACTAGAATATTTTCTAAGTATCCAGCTGATTTCAGGTAACTCAAATGTTTCTAACTCAGAAGCAACTTCTGAGACCCTAAAACACTTAAAAAAATAAGTAACTTCAAACTTAGAGTTTTCTACATTAGTCCCCATGATACATATATTTCAAGGCCTATATGCATACAAATCTGATTTTCCCCCCATGCAGTCTACAGCATTGTTTTGAGTTTAGAGTACTGAGGTTGTTGAGCATGGACAGCAGGTGACTCATGTTCAGAAGTAGTGACGGTATTGCCTGTAGCACGACGATGATGGGTGTGTAGACATACCCAATTCCAGATAGCTAACCATTGTCCCGTGTTTGCAGTGCCCCGTGTGTGAGAACAGTAAGCAGCTAGCAGGTCTGGGACGGCATGATGCTGAGGGCTATTTGTATGAGTTATTTGGCTTACTTTTCTACCTTATTTGTAAATTTTCTTCCTTTTTCATTTTGTATTAATCTGCTAGTTTCATAAATTTATTGAAAATTTCTTAAAAAGTTTAAGGTTTTCTTTTGTTTAAATTTTTTATTTATGTGAATGAATGTTTTGCTTAAATGTATGTATGTATGTATGTATATATACCATGTGTGTACCTTGTTCCTGCAAATCCCAAAAGGCGTCAGATCTTTTGAAGCTGAAGTTACAGATAGTTTTGAGCCTTTCTTAGGGTGCTGGGAATGGAAGCTAGGTCCTCTGCAAGAATAACAAGTGCTCTAAACCACTGGTGAGCTTTGTGTATGCCAGGCAAGCACTCCAGCAAATGAACCCAGGCCAGGCAGCATCCCCTTTCACTTTGATTCCTAAGCTACCTTAGAACAAAAGTGTAAGTAAAATAAGCATAAAGCATCATTTTCAAGGGCCTGGAGAGATGTCTTAGCAGTTAAGAGCACTGTCTGTTCTTTCAGAGGTCCTAAGTTCAATTCCCAGCAACAACATGGTGACTGACAACCATCCGTAATGAGATCTGGTGCCCTCTTCTGGTGTACAGGCATACGTGTAGACAGAACACTGTATACATAATTAATAAATCAAGAATCATTTTCAGGAGCATGCACAAAGTCCTGCATTCCATATCCAGAACATAAAGCCAGGTGTGGTGGTGCATGTCTGTAATCCCTGAGCTTGGGGGTAGAGGCAGAAGGATAAGGACTTCAAGGCCAGCCTAGGCAATATGAGGGCTTTTTTTGAAAACTAATTATGGTTCCTTAATGGATCTGGAAATTGTTATTTTGAACAGTGCTCTACTAAAAGAATACAACCATAAGAGCAAGATGAGATCGTTCATTTGAATAATTAATGTAATTTTGGTTCCAGTGTTTGGATTTTTTTTCCTGTTTGGTAAGCATATAATATATAATGGTGAAAATCAGGAAAGGCGGGGGAGATGCTTTCAAGTCTTACTTTTAATAGCTAAGGTTAGGTGTTTCTAAGACAGTCTACCTCTGTGGTTACTGATACTATATATATGTGAGATTCCACTTTGCTTTAGAGCTTTAGTGCTTACTAAAGCTCTTGGGGAGTGCTTCCCTTCATGTCTCAAGACTTCCCAGAGCACAGTAAATTTACGCAGCTGTGTCATGGCTTGCAAGCTGGATGTATTGTTACACACTAATGGATGGACTTCCTTTTGTGAAAATATGATTTTCTCTCGGAGGTATTTGTGTCACTAATAAGTTCTGAGTGCAAGAAAGTAACATTGTGAGTGTAAGATAGCATTCTGTTTGTAGTTTGAACACAGAGAACTGATGCCTGGCTGTGATCAATACTGTTTCTGATGGATTGCTATTGTTGGTCATGCGTACTCACTTTGTCACCTCCAGTAATATATAGTACGTTAGGGCCTGTCAAAAGGTAAAATAGTTACTGTTCCTCACACACTAAACTTTGAGTTTATGCCAGGTAAGTTTCCGCTCTTTCCTTTTAGCAGCTATGCCTTTGCCTTTCCTGACAATTTCAGTATAAAAACATCGGTCTTGGGCACAGTGGCTTACACCTGTGATCTCTCCTGGGAGTCTGAGGCCAGCCTGGTCTCATTAGTTAGCTTCACAAGAATGACCCTCCCTGTCTCAAAAAATAACTGTACTACATTGGTACCTCTATCTTTTTTGCCTTGTGGCAAATTTTAGTTCAGGTCAACAGTGTGCCCATATTTTAACTTCATATTGGAGATGAATTAAATAATGTATGGATAGTCCCTTCCAGTAGTTTAAAGTACAATAAATACTATTTTAGTAACTATGTTTCAGAGCCTTTTACAAATCTTCTACAAAACTGTCTTTGTAATTGACTTGAACTGGTTCAGTTCTTCTTTCACTCCTACGGAAAGTCTGCTAAAAGTGGTGGCTTATGCCTGTAATCTCAGTACTTGGGAAGCTGAGGCAGGGAGAGTGCCATGAGTTCAAGGTCTGCCTGGGCTACATAGTGGGCTCCAGGCCAGCCTGAACTGATGCCTACCTCAAAAACAAAATGAGCAAAAAAGAGAAAATGTAGTTGAAAATCTGTAATACGTAATAATTTACATTTTGGATCATAGATGAATGTGGTCATGCATATGTGTGCAGTGGTACCTCATTGTATTGTACTTTTTGAACTCCGTCTTTTTGTTATTGAATAGTTTCCTTGGAAACTAACATTGTGCATAGTGTTTCGCTATTAAACACTTTTATTATTAAACTTTACTATTTTGTTCACCATCTGCATGTTTCAGAGAGACTAGGATTTATCATGAAATTAGAGGAATTAGGACACATGAGCTTATAGATATGATCATATTAATATTTTGGTGAATTGATTTGTTTTAAATGTTTTATACATTAATACATAGATAAATTTGGTAAATAACCTGACTTTATGTACAGTATTTATGTATGTACAAGATTTATGTATGAATCTTGTCTAACTTTCCTTCGTAGATTTTTATGGAAACAGATGTCTTCATAGTTATCTATATGTTTCAGATTGCTAAGAAGCCTCGAACACCAACCTCTGGTCCAGTGATCACGAAGCTGATCTTTGCAAAACCAATTAATAGTAAAGCGGTCACAGGACAGACAACTCAAGTGTCACCACCAGTCATCACAGGTTATATTTCTTTATAGTCTTATCAAATTATATGTATGTCTTTCTTTTAGATTTAGAGAAGCTCATTCTGCCACTTTAAAATGTTTTCAGTGTAGCAGTCAGCTTATTTATTAGTATTTTGTACTCTTTTTTATTAAAAATAATTTTTTCATACACTGTATTCTGATTACAGTTCTCCCCAACTCCTCCTGAATCCTCAGCCCTCCCAATTCCTCCCAGATGTTCCCCTCTCCCTCATTCCAGTTTTCTTTCTCTCTCTTTAGAAAAGTAGGCTAACAAAAAGCAAATAAACCAGAATGAAAAACAAAACAACAGAAAACACAAGAAACACATACACAAATACATACACACAAGACAAAATCTATAAACACACAAGATGGGAAATTGTAACCTACTGCCTCTGGCTGAACACCCTCCCCAGCCCCCACATACAATTCTTTGTGAGCAGAAAATTGTCATGTTACCAAATGATAGTTACTTAAATAATAACAGAATTTAAGCCGTATTACATCTACCAGTACTTTCTAATGTGACCCAGTTCTTTATATTATATACTTTAAAACGTGTCATCATAAGTAACTATATCAGTTTTGTTATTTAACCTTCAAGTATTCTGTTAGGAATTGTGGTTCAGTTAGTAGAAAGGTTGGCTATGCCTAAAGACCTTGTGGTATCAATTCATGAGATACAGAACTAATACAAAACAGCGACAAAATCCCCAACAGTGCAGCTCTCCCTGATCAGCATGAATTAGTGCCATGGATGCCATTGTTCGGTCCTTGGGTCATTTATCATATGTCACTAGCTAATCACGGTTTGCCTTGCAATTGCTGACAAAAGCATAGAGATAGATACCCGTCGTGTTGCTAGAACTGTTGGTGCTGAGCTCAGTTTGCAGAGATAATTTTGTCTTTTGTGGAGGAAGGGGTAGGATCTTGCTCTTTAGCCCTGGCTAGCCTGGCTAACTCTGTAGCCCAGGCTGGCTTCTGAATTCACAGTAGTCTTTCTCTCAAGGACTGAGGTTGTGAGTATTTACACCATGCCCAGCTTAGTTCCTTCTTTTATATAGTGCCTACATTTTTTATATATCACATTTTAAGCTACAAAAGTAGTTGTCCCGTATTATAAGTAGTAGGTTACATCGTTTTTTATTGTACCTAATGCTGTTTCAAAATGTTAAAGATTCTTTTTAAATGAGTGGGTCCTTATTGAATTGATTTACCTATGTATAGTTGGTTTCTCAAAAAAAAAAAATTGATCTTGTCACATCATGCTTAAAATATTTATTCTTGGCTTTGACTTATTCAAATGACAGTCTTGTCTTAGCCATTAAGATCTTTATATCCTTTTTATTTTGCCTCCTATCAGCCCAAACCTATTTAACTTACCTTAAGAGATAGCAACTAGGTCATGCTCTCTTGGAACTGAGGGTCTTAGCAATGTTTCTCTTGCTTGGAGTGGCTTTCTTTGCCACCCTCATGACTGCCTTGCTCCTCTCACCTCTTGGCCACTCTTAGACGTTATTGAAGTTTAATGAGGTGTCTTCATGTAATTGTTTTTATATGTGTTCCCATCAGGATGGATTATTTCTGTCTTGTATTTACCTTACATTGCAGTTTATTTGTTTTTGAGGGTCTTACCATGTAGCCCTGGCTGGCCTGGAACTCACTATGTAGAGCAGGCTGGCCTCAGACTCACCTCCCAAGTGCAGGGATTTAAGGCATGTACCACCACACCTGGCATATGCTTAACTTATTTTTTTTTTTTTTACTGTTTTTATTGAGCTATACATTTTTCTCTGCTCCCCTTCTTTCCTCCCCCTCCTCTTCTGCCCTCTCCCATGATCCCCATGCTTCCAGTTTACTCAGGAGATCTTGTCTTTTTCTACTTCCCATGTAAATTAGATCCGTGTATGTCTCTTTGAGGGTCCTCTTTGTTGTCTCAGTTCTCTGGGGTTGTTAATTGTAGGCTGTTTTTTTTTTTCTATGTCTAAAAGCCACTTATGAGTGAGTATATATTATATTTGTCTTTCTGGGTCTGGTTACCTCACTCAGTGTTTTCTATATCCATACAGATGCAAATTTCAAGATGTCATTTTATCATTGTGTAGTAATCTGTTGTATAAATGTAACACATTTTCTTTATCCATTCTTTGGTCAAGGGACATTTAGGTTGTTTCCAGGTCCTGGTTATAACACATAATGCTGCTATGAACATAGTTGAGCACATGTCCTTGTGGTACAATTGAGCATCCTTTGGGTGTACACTCAAAAGTGGTATTGCTGGGTCTTGAGGAAGGTTGTTTTTTAATTTTCTGAGAAATCGTTATACTGATGTTCAAAGTGGCTGTACCAGTTTGCATTCCCACCAGCAATGCAGGAATGTTCCCTTTATCCCACATCCTCTCCAGCATAAGTTGTCATCAGTGTTATTGATCTTATCTGTTCTTAGTGATGTAAGATGGAATCTCAGAGTTGTTTTGATTTGCATTTCTCTGATGGCTAAGGATATTGAGTATTTCCCTAAGTGCCTTTCAGCCATTTTAGATTCCTCTGTTGAGAGTTGTCTGTTTAGGTCTGTACCCCATTTTTTTTAAATTGGATTATATATATATATTTTTGATGACTAGTTTCTTGAGTTCTTTGTATATTTTAGAGACCAGCTTTCTGTCTGATGTGGGATTGGTGAAGATCTTTTCCCATTCTGTAGGTTGCCATTTTGTCTTGTTGACCATGTTCTTTGCTTTACAGAAGCTTCTCAGTTCCAGGAGGTCCCATTTATTAATTGTTGCTCAGTGTCTGTGCTGCTGGGGTTATATTTAGGAAGTGGTCTCCTGTACCAATACGTTCAAGTGTATTTCTCTTCTATGAGGTTCAGTTTGGTTGGTTTTGATCCATTTGGACTTGAGTTTTGTGCACGGTGATAGATAATGGATCTATTTTTATTTTACATGTTAATATCCAGTTATGCCAGCACCATTTGTTAAATATGCTTTCTTTTTTCCATTTAATATTTTTTGCTTCTTTGTCAAAATTAGGAGTTCATAGGTGTGTGAATTGATATCTGGGTCTTCTATTCGGTTCCATTGAGTCTCTTGTCTGTTCTTATGCCAATACCAGTCTGTTTTCAGTACTGTAGCTCTGTAGTAGAGTTTGAACTCAGGGATTGTGATGCCTCCAAAAGTTCTTTTATTGTACAGGATTGTTTTGGCTATCCTGGGTTATTTTGCTTTTCCATATGAAGTTGAGTACCATTCTTTTGAGATCTTTGAAGAAATTTTGCTGGATTTTGATGGTCATTGCATTGAATCTGTAGATTGCTTTTGGTAAGATTGCCATTTTTACTATGTTAATTCTACCTACCCAAAAGTATGGGAGATCTTTCCATTTTCTAATATCTTCATCAGTCTCTTCAAAGATTTAAAGTTCTTGTCATACAGGTCTTCCACTTGTTTGGTTAGAGTTACTCTAAGATATTTTATGTTATTTGTGGCTATTGTGAAGGGTGATGTTTCTATAATTATTTTCTCAGCTTATTTATCATCTGTATAAATGAGGGCTACTGCCTTTTTTTTTTTTTTTTGAGTTACTCTTGTATCCTGCTACATTACTGAAGGTGTTTATGAGTTGTAGGAGTTCCTTGGTAGAATTATTGGGGTTGCTATGTAAACTATCATCAGTGAATAGTGAGAGTTTGACTTCTTCTTTTCCAATTTGTATCCCCTTGATCTCCTTTTAGTGTCTTATTGTTCTAGCTAGAACTTCAAGAACTATATTGAATAGATATGGAGAGAGTGGACAGACTTGTCTTGTTCCTGATTTCAATGGGATCGCTGAGAGTTTCTCTCCATTTAGTTTGATGTTGGCGGTTGGCTTGTTGTATGTTACCTTTATTATGTTTAGGTATGTTCCTTATATCCCTCTGCTCTTTCCAAGACCTTTGTCATGAAGGTATGTTGTATTTTATTGAAGGCTTTTTCAGCATCTAATGAGATGAGCATGTGGATTTTTTTTTCCAGTTAGTTGTTTATATGGTCGATTGCATTGATAGATTTTCGTATGTTAAACCATCCCTGCATCTCTGGGATGAAGCCTTCTTGGTCATGATGATGATTTTTCTGATGTGTTCTTGGAAACGGTTTGTCAGTACTTTACTGAGTATTTCTGTGTCAAAGTTCATGAGTGAGATTGATCTGTAGTTTTCTTTCTTGTTTTGGGTATCAGTGTAATTGTAGCCTTGTAAAAGGAGTTTGGTATTGTTCCTTCTGTTTCTTTTGTGTGGAATAATTTGATGAGTATTGGTATTAGTTCTTTGAAAATCTTGTAGAATTCTGTGCTAAAACCATCTGGTATTGGGCTTTTTTGGTTGGGAGACTTTTGTTGACTGTTTCTCTTTCTTTAGAGGTTATAGGTCTATTTAATTTGTTTATCTGATCTTGATTTAATTTTGGTAAGTGATATTTATCCAGAAAGTTGTCCATTTCCATTTTCCAACTTTGTGCAGTACAGGTTTTCAAAATATGACCTCATGATTCTCTGGGTTTCCTTGAGTCTGTTCTTAGGTCCCCCTTTGCATTCTGATTTTATTAGTTTGAATATTCTCTCTGTTCCTTTTGGTCTGTTTGGATAAAGGTTTGTCTATTTCATTGATATTTCTCAAAGAATCAACTCATTGATTCTTTGTATTGTTTTCTTTGTTTCTGTTTTGTTGATTACAGCTCTCAATTTGATTATTTCCTGCCATCTGGTCCTGGGTGAGTTTGATTCTTTTTTTTTTTTTTTGGTTTTTCGAGACAGGGTTTCTCTGTGGCTTTGGAGCCTGTCCTGGAACTAGCTCTGTAGACCAGGCTGGTCTCGAACTCACAGAGATCCGCCTGCCTCTGCCTCCCGAGTGCTGGGATTAAAGGTGTGCGCCACCACCGCCCGGCAAGTTTGATTCTTTTTGTTCTGTTAATTCACTGGTGTGGGATTTCTCCAGTTTATTTATGTAGGCATTTAGTGCTATGAACTTTCTTCTTAACACTGCTTTCATTGTATCCCTAAATTTGAGTATGCTGTGTGGTCATTTTCATTGAATTTTAGGAAGTTTTTAATTTCTTTATTTCTTCTTTGACCCATTGATGATTCTGATGAGCACTGTTTAATTTTCATGCGTTTGTGGGCTTTCTGGAATTAGTGTTGCTATTGAATTCTAATTTTAAGCCATTGTGATTCAATAAGATACAGAGGGTTATTCCAATTTTTTTTTTTAATCTCTTGATGTTTGCTTTGTTAGCTAGTATGTGGGCAGTTTTTGAGCAGGTTTCGTGAGGTGCTGAGAAGGGATATCCTTTTATATTTGGATGGAATGTTCTGTAGATTTCTGTTAAGTCTGTTTGAGTCTTAACATCTGTTAGTTCCCTTATTTCTCTGTTAAATTTCTGTCTGGGCACATATACTTAACTTTAGTTAATTTTTTTTTTACATTGACTTATAACTTGCCCCCTAGTTATACTATTATTTTTATGCCTGGGTCCTTACTGGTCTCCCCTAATACAGTTAGAGTTTTTCTTGATAGTATTTTTCTCCTTCCTTCCTCCTTCCTTCTTCCTTTCTTCCTTCCTTCCTTTTCTTTTTTCTTCCTTCCTTTTCTTTTTTTGAGACAGGGTTTCTTTGTGTAACGATGTCTGTATTAGAACTAGCTCTATAGACCATGCTGGGCTTGAATTCATAGAGATCCATCTGCTTCTGTCTTACAAGTGCTAGGCTTAAAGATGTGTACAACTACTGCTGGGAGATAGTAATTTTTTGTTCCTTTACCATTTAGTTCTTTAAGGATTACTTTATTTTAAAAAGTTTTCCCAGTAAGGGCCCAGTGAGATGGCTTAGAAGGTAAAGACACTTGCTGCCAAGCCCAGAGCCACCTGATGTGGGTGTTGAGCTCTGGCTTTGGTTTTCTGGAAGAGTAGCAAGTACTCTTAATCACTGAGCCATCTCTCTGGCCCCCGGTAGCTGTTTTTTATAAGTGTCTGTATGAGTTTTGTTTTTATTTTTTGAGTCAAAGTCTGATGTATTCCTGGTTAGCCTATTGCTGTGTAGCTGAGAATGAACCTGGATCTTCAGGTCTCTACCTTCCAAGTGGTGTCCCATCTTTCCTGGTTGATGAGGTTCTAGAGAGAGTTCCATGGCTTCCTGCATGCTAACCAAGCCCTCTACCAACAAAGCTGTGTCCCAGTAGAACTGTGAATTTCAATTTTCCCTGAAAAATTGTTCAAATAGGAAGTCAGCTGTAGTACATGAAAAGTACAGCTAGGAAGACAGCCGTGGAACAGGGAAGTACAGCTAGGAAGACAGCCGTGGAACAGGGAAGTACAGAGGCTGAAGCAGACTCGGGGCAAAAGTCCTGAATTGTCCCAAGCTTACTCTGATAGAAATAGCTTAGCTATGTTTCAGAGCATATTCTTGATAATTCTTAGGTTCACCATACTCCTTAGGATCTAACTAATGTCTCTAAAGTCATGTGTGTGACACTAAAGTCCTTGTCTGTGTAGGTTACCATCGTGTAAGGTTCTCACCTGTTACCAACAGTCACCCGGTGTGCTGCCTCTCATTTGCAGGTAGGGTTCTTTCACAGTCTACTCCTGGAACTCCATCAAAGACCATAACTATATCGGAAAGTGGTGTTATCGGATCAACTTTAAATCCTACAACACAGACACCAAATAAGATAGCCATCTCACCTTTGAAGTCACCAAATAAGGTAAAAAAGGAAATCAGCCACAAATGCCAAATACTGTGGTTGCTGCATTTGTTGTCTTCAGGTAACTCCAAATACTTTAGTTTTCATATATTCCCAAGCAGATAAAAGGCGCTCAGTGAATACACAATTAATTTAGTAATCAAATTGTTTTCTTTCTTTTATTGCTTGTTTGTTTAATACTGGATCTACTCTGTAGTGCTGGGTGATTGGCCTAGGACTCAAAATCCTCCTGCTTCTGCCTCCAAGGTGTGATTATAAGCATTGTGATGAAGGATTCATATCCCCCCTCTCTGTGTCTCTCAAGCACACCCTCAACCACAAGCAATAAGTTTTTGCTAGTAAAGATTTTATTTTAAACACTTGGTAACAGAGTAATCATTGGTGATTTTTATGGCCCATATAAGTATAGATACAGTTTTTTTTAATGAAGTATTGATGCACTTAGTTATTCTTCAGTTCGTATTTAACACACTTACTCTTGGGTAATAATAAACACATGTAGTGGTTTTGCAGTTATAAAATGCTAAGCAGCCATTTCTTGATGGAGACGTGAGTTGTTGCTGACTACCATTCAGCACTAGAAAAGAATATTAGAGGCTGCCAAACATATTGTCTATATACTTGAAGCTAAACTACATTTTATGCAAAGTATTTGAAACCTTTTCATGATTTGTTTTCATTCTAAGGTGGTAAGTATCTAACTTTGCTAAGACATATTAATGTCATTATACCAGTGTAGAAAAACATACAAAGCAGGTTTATTTTAAAAGTCACTTGGGTAGAAAACATTTTTTTCGCTGTGAGATGCCACCCTATGACTCTGGAAAGACATTATCTTTTGTCCCTGGCTTCTTCCTTGATTTGCAATTATTCATAAATTTAAAAAAATTGAATGTTTGCTCTATATAATATGTAAATATGATACCTCATACAACTTATTTAAGTAGGCATCTACGTGCAAATGAAATCAGCTTATTTATGCATAATGATGAACACTGGGGCTAAAATACAAGTAAGGGTTTAATTTTAAGGAGTGGAGGAAGAAAGAACTTTAGATGGAAACAGTGAAAGTTGTGTGCAGAATCTTAATGATTGCAGCGAGACTGGTGTGTGTGTGTGTGTGTGTGTGTGTGTGTGTGTGTGTGTGTATGACTAAGATGATTTATACAGAGTAGGCTATTCTTTTATTTTGTCTTCAGAGTTTTTCTATATAGCCTAGGATGGCCTCGAACTCAAGGCACTCCTTCTGCCCTGCCTCAGCCTCTGAGTGCTGGGATTGCTGGCATGTGCCACCACACCTGGCTTTGAAAGCTCTACTGGAAGAATTACTGTCTTCAGGGACTTCTGCTGTTTGCAGTGCTCCTCACCTTGTCTGCACATTAGAATCACGGGAAATTCTCATCCCAGAGTGTCTGATTTATTCTCTCTGGAGTTTGGTTTGATACCAAGATTTTGAAGCTGCCCCTGAGTGATTCAAATGGGCACTTAGACTGAGGGCCACTGTTCTGAATAATAAGAGGTTGTATATTTATAAAGGAGACCTGCTGAGTTGTAGTAGACAGTTTGGTAGAAGATGTAGATCCTGAAGGAGTTCAGTCAGAGTCGGGTTTGTCTGTGCTTCAGAAGCACCTAAGGGCCCTCTTTAAAAACAAAACACAATAAAACAACCCAAAACTAATGTCTTACTTCCTTCTATATCCTGTTTAAATTAGAATCTGTAGGCTAGGTTAGATATTTTCATTCCACATTGTGGGTGGGAGTAGAGAATCACTGAGTGGAATTATGAAAAGTAGCTAACTGGCTTCCGGCAGTTGTCGTCCTTATCTGCCGTTGCTTCCCGCCCAGCCTGGTGGTGCTTGTCAGAGGGAGATGTGTCCTGGGCTCTTTCATTAAGTTCCTTTCTTTCTGTTGGGGGAGGCTGCTTATTCATTTTTTGGCGGGGACAACCGTGTTAACATTTCAGACAGATCTCACGCTCTTCTCCATCCCAGAGACGAAATTACTGCTCTCACTGTAGAAATTGAGACGCCAGTACTTTCTCAACTCCTTTGAAAACTGCAGCTGTTTTTCACTGCAGGACAAATTTCTTCTGTTGTGTTTTTTTCAGTAATCTTGAAATTTCGTATTTATTAGACATGCAAACTTTGAGTTAATGAAATGTTCTGTTTTATTTATTTCTCCTGGCTTTTTAGGTCATTGAATCTCAACCTGTAGGTCTTGACCTCCCCCCCCTCACACACAGGTTTTGTACATCAGATATCTTGCATATCAGATATTTGTCTTATGATTTCAGTTGTGAAATAGCAATGAAATACTTTTGTGGAGTTTTCACCACGGGAGGAACTGTATTAAAGGGCCAAAGCATTGCCAAGGTTGAGAACCACTACTTTTTTACGTTTTACTTTTTGTTGTTGTTGTTGTTTTTCAAGGCACGGTTTCTCTGTAACCATCCTGGCTGTCCTAGAACTCATTTTGTAGACAAGTTTTACCAATTTCATCCTGTTTTCTGTCCTTTAGTGTATCTTTTGTTCTGAAATCATAGTATTCCTTTTAGAGTTATTTGATATGTTATATTTCAATTTCCTAAATCCAGTGTTTTAACACACAAAACTAATTAGAAGCAGCAGCAGAGTGTAATTGCCGCAGTTCCTGTTGATGCATAAAATCCCTGATGATACCCATCTTCTACTTTGGCAAAAAGAAATTTGAGCCAGGTGGTGGTGGCACACGTCTTTAATCCCAGCACTGGGGGGCAGAGGCAGGTGGATCTGTGTGAGTTTGAGGCCAGCCTGATTACAAAGTGAGTTCCAGGGCATTCAGGGCTACACAGAGAAATCCTGTCTTGAAAAAAAGATAACAAAAAAAGAAATTTGAAACTGCACAAATACGATACTCATAATTTGAAAAGGAAGAAAAATCTTAGATTCCATGTACCAGCACAGTGTTGAATGGTAATACCTACTTTTGATACTTGATCAATTCTGCAGATCTGAGTTATTGCCCAGCAAGAAAATGAAATAAGGGATTAAGATGAATATGAAAACATATCACAGTTCTATCATTTACAATCATACGCAATTACAAAACACAAAGACCACAACTGAACTATTAGAATTAAAGTTTAAGTTTAGCAAGATGACCAGTGTGTGCTGTTTCTTTCAGGACTTGGAATGTGTTCAGTGGATGCGGTGCTTGCCTAGCGTACCTGAACCCTGGGTTCAGTCTGCAGTAGAGAATAAAATGGGGCATGGTGACACACACCTGTAATCTCAGTGGAGGCTGCTGGCCTAGAAGCTGGAGGTCAACCCAAGCCTCAGTTTGACACCAGCTTGGGATCATGTCTTTAAAAAAAAAGTTTGTGTGTGCCTGCACACACCCCTACCCGATGTGAGCTCATTACATATACTTTGGTACTGGGAATTAAACCAAAGGCACACATGTTCTGAGCCCATGTTATATCACTGACCACTATGCTCCAGCTTCATATAACCAATGCTTTATAGTTTTTATTGTAGAACGCTCTCACTTTTCATGCTTAAATATATGCATCAGTATTGTGGGGTTTGTTCTTTCAGTGGCCAGTGTAAATGCGATGGTTTCCTGACTTCAGTCTCGGACAGTTGCTACTGTTGGCCTTTTATCTGTTGACAGTGTGTCCTGAAACCCTTCATTTGTTACTGAGTGTTAGTTAGGTGAGTCAAAGAGCATGTCATCTACCGATAGTGACAATTTGACTTCCTCTTTCCCAGTGTGTATAGTGTTTCTTTTCCCGGTCGTTCTACTTGGCTCTTCATTGAGTAAAAATAGTGGCAGTGAACATTTTCTTGTTTGAGATTCTTAGAAAGTTCCCAGTTCTTCCTTATCAATAGCAGAACTAGCTCTTGGAATTTGGATATGGCTCTATATGTTTAAGTAAGTTCCTTCTGTTCCCTGAAATCTCTATTCCAAAGGGTTACTAAGTTTATAACATTCTTTTTTGTGTGTCTGTTGAGATGATCACATGGTTGGTTGCAATACAGTTACTGAGTTTTCTGTTTTTGTAGTTTCTGTCTTACTTTGAAGTTCAGGCTGTCTGGAGTTCTCTGTGTTGCCCAGATTAGCATTCAACCCATGGCAGTCCTCTTCTCTGCCTGAGTGCTGTAGGTAATACTTCTAGGGAGTTTTGTTGTTAGTGTTGTAGTTATTGTTTCATTGTCCTGGGGACCTAACTTAGGGCTTCACACTTGCTAGGCAAACACTGTGTTAATGACCTATACCCCTTGCTCAGTGGGCTAGTAGTTTTGTTGAGGATTTTTGCATCTGTGTTTGTCAAAGATAATTGCCCATAGGTTGTTTTTTTTTTTTTTTTTGTATTCTTACTTGCTTTTGGTGTTGGAATAATACTGGCCACATAGAATACCTTTGGAAGAATTCCTTTATTATTTTTATAATTATTATTATTATATTTATTATTTCATTATTATTCCTATATTATTTTTGGTACTAATTTAAGCAAAATTGGTGTGTGCTGTAAATGTTTTAGTTGAATTTTATAGGAAAGCTATCTGACCCTGCCCTTAACTTTGGGAGCGGGAAGAAAGGATTTGGTACTGATGGGGAAACTGATTTAGTTTCCTTGCTTGTTATTGGTCTCTTCAGGTTTTCTGTTTTTTCAGGATCCAGGCATAGTAATTTACTTGTATTCAGGATTCTGTGTTGATTGACAGTTTTTGTGGAGTTGTACATGGTCATTCCTAATGATCCCTGTATTCCTTAGATGATAGTTGTAATCTCTCCCTTTTTACTATGAATTTTTTTTTTTTTGAGATGGTATCTTATTAAGTAACTCAGGCTGGCCTCATGTTTTCTCTAATAGCCAGGTTAACCTGGGGTTGGCAGTTCTCTTGCCTTGATGTTGTTTTCCTGATAAACTGCTCCGAGACTAGTAAACTAGTAAGAGTAGACTGGGCCAGGTTGGCCTCGAACTCACAGAGGTCCGTCTACCTCTGCATCCTGAGTGTGGGATTAAAGGCGTGCACCACCACTGCCCGGCTTTTTTCTTTTTTTTTTGCTGGTGTTTTAATTTTTATTGCAGTGTATTTAGTGTGTGCACTTATGTGTGTGTCGGAGTGTGCATGGAAGTCAGAGGACAGTTTGCTGGGAGCTTCACATATGTTCAGCAAGTTCTTGACCATTGAACTATGTCCCTAGATCTGATATGATGATCTTGAAACAAAAAATTTTAAACTGAGATTAAGAATTCAGCAGTTTAGGGGGGCTGGAGAGATGGCTCAGTGGTTAAGAGGCTGCTCTTCCAGAGGTCGTGAGTTCGATTCCCAGCAACCACATGGTGGCTCACAACCATCTGTAATGAGATCTGGTGTGCAGGCATACATAGAGGCAGAATGTTGTATACATAATAAAAAATAAAAAATTAAAAAAAAATAATTCAGCAGTTTAGGGCTGGAGAGATGGCTCAGGGGTTAAGAGTGCAGGCTGCTCTTCCAGAGGTCCTGAGTTTAATTCCCAGCAACCACATGATGGTTCACAACCATCTATAATGAGATCTGGCTCCATCTTCTGGCCTGTAGGCAAACATCCAGACAGAATGCTCTATACATAATAAATAAATAAATCTTTTAAAAAAATCCAGCAGTTTAGATGCATATTAAGAACAAGGATCCTTCCTTCCTGAATTTCCTGTCATTAGACCCACGTTTTTAAGAAAATCCAACAGTAAATTCTTGAGGCAAAAGGTAAAGTAAGAAACATGGAGAAAATAGGACAATAAAAGTAAGTTTGTAGATGTGGCAAAATTAACATATTAATGTTTATGTGTAAGCATGTCAGGATCAAGTCTAGTTCCTGTGCATGCTAGGCAAGTAAGAACTGTACCGCTGAGCAACTTTCCCAAAGCTCATAAAATATGTAGCCTCAAAGAAGGCGAAGGAGAGAGAGAGAGAAAAACAAAAAATGGTTAAATGATCTGATTCGAGATTACAGTGACTTTTAAATATGTGTGCATGTACAAAATGTAAACAGACGAGGGCCAGCAAGATGACTTCGTGGGTTAAAGTGCTGGCTGTACAGGCACTGCAACCTGAGTTGATCACCAGGGAGAGAACTGACTTGTACCCCCTGACCTCTGACTTCCACATCCACGTGTGTCCGTGTGCACTTAGACATACACATCATACCCACACATATATAATAACAATAAATAGGTATTTTTAAAATGTAGACAGATTTGTGTACTGATGTAAAATGTAGTCAGAGCTGACTTATTCAGCTTAAAACCAGTTATGTATGACTTGTAAGAGTGGTAGCTTCAAGCTTAAGATAAAGAAGTTTAATACTTAAAAATTCTAAATTTTTGTCTTTAAGATTTTATGTGTCTGAGAGCTTTGCCTTCCTGTATGTCTGTGCACTGTGTGTATTCCTGGTAACCATAGAAGCCAGAAGAGGCCCGCAGATTCCCTGGAACTGGCCCTATAAAGGAAGGTCGTGAGCTAGTTTCTCTGCAAGAACAGCAAGTGCTCATAACTACCGAACCATCTCTTCAGTTACCCCACCCCGTTTTAAAGCCTCTCCATTGCTAAATAAGCATTCTACTTCTGAGCTCTGCCCTGAGTCCCTACAAGACAGAAAAAGTGTGAATAAGTGAATTAGATTCTTTACCATATGCTGGTTGTCTGGTGACCACTGCTGTAGACTGAGTGGGGATATGTAATACCTTAGGAAATAGTAGATTACAAGAGATCAAACTATCTTTATTTTATTTATCTATTGTTCCTAGTAGGGTTTGACTGTGTCACCCACAGCAGCCTTGACAACCTCACCTCTGGCCTCAGCCTCTGCATTGCTGAGATTGCCAAGTGTCTATCCTGCACTCCAGTTCACCTTTGCTTGTGTTGACAGTGAGTGTTAAACATGAGTCATGTAAACTCAGGGCATCTCATGAGACTCGTTGCTTTATGGACTGCTTCCAAAGTTTTGTTAACTTCTGGGAAGTGTCAGCTTACTGTCTGGGAGAGGAAATTATTGAAATGATTTGTAAAATTTTAGTTAGATTTGTTATACCTAAATCAGTTAGTTTGTCTAGAGTCTAGATAACCATTAACTGGAATAATTTTGAACAGTATTTGGCACTGTAGGTTTGTGTGGCCAGGTGGTGGGAGTTGTAGTCTTTCAGAATCAACTAAACCTGATATGGGGACAGAATGGTCCTTCTTTAGACTATGTTCAATGAAAAACAATATAGTTAGTTTATTTGGTAAAAACATCTATATTTTCTTTTTAATTCTGAGAGTAAAAAATTAAATCTTTCTCATAAATTTTATCTAATATCAACAAAATTGTGTGCATTCTTACATTTTTTATTTTAAAATCTTTTATTTTTGAGATTATAATTTTTTCTCCCTTTCTCCCTCCCCATTCCCTTTCATATCTCCTCCCTACTTTTGTTATTCTCCTGTTTTTAAAGATTAAAAAATTTTTAAGTTGTGTGTGTGTGTGTGGTTTTGTGCGTATGAGTGCAGGTGCCCGTGGAGTCTGGAAGAGTGCATCGGATCCCTGGAAGCTGAGTTGCAGTTGATGCTGGGGACCAACTCTGGTTCTCTTGAGAGTGCTGACCCCTGAGCCATATTCTCCCCAGCTCCAGCTGAATATTTTTTTCATTTCTTTCTGAACAAGTTGTAGTTGCAGCTTACTAGCACATCCTATATAAGTTAACAGATTAATGGTAGGCATGTTGTTCTGTCTTTATTTGACAGGCAGTGAAGTCGGCTGTGCAGACCATCACTGTTGGAGGGATGAGCACATCACAGTTTAAGACCATCATTCCTCTGGCAACTGCGCCCAATGTCCAGCAGATCCAAGTGCCTGGAAGCAAGTTTCATTATGTCCGGCTTGTTACAGCCACAACAGCCAGTAGCTCAGCCCAGCCAGCTAGTCAGAATCCCAGTGTAAACACTCAGCCTCTTCAGCAAGGTTTGTGACCATGTTTCTTTTAACAGCAATGAATGCTTTTAACATCATTAAAGAACATTGCTTCTGTTTTTTAAGTCTGGCATTTCCTCTGAGAGTGTGAATGAGCAGTGATTACAGAAGACAACAAAGTAAGAGTAGATTGTATGTAACTGCTACTTCATTCTCTGAGAAGTTAGCTGCTGTAATACCAGAGATTCGTGAGTATTACTTAATCAGCTATCTTACTGCCTGCTTAAACCCCTATTATGTCAATGGGATAGCTTTATTTTGTTTCTAAACAGTATAGCTCTTTGCTAAAGCTTGGGTCAGTTGGAATGACTAGCAGTCAGTGTATAAATAAGAATGTAACAGTTTAATCTTTTTTGAATTGTACTTACTTTAAGGTTATAATTGGTACTCTACCAATCAGTTGGTAGGGTGCTTGCATTCCTTGCACAGAGCCATAGGTTTGCTCTTCTGCACCACAGACTTGGGTATGGCTGTGCACATCTTGTGAACCCAGTGCGAGGGAGGTGGTTGCAGAAGGAGCAGAAGGTCAAGGTCCTCATTTATAGGCAATTACAAGGCCAGCCTGCATTAAGACTTTGCCAACAAACCTGATACATATGCATATGTAACTGTTCTCAAATTTGGCTACTTTTTAAAAGTTGAACAGAATGAAAGGTTCAGTATAGCTTATAGCTTAGAGCCTATTTTTCTTTGGAAAACTGCTTTATGTTTCAACAATGTCAAACTGAAGAAATGAGTATGTGGTTAAGTGGTGGATTGCTCAACAACTGTGTAAGGAAGGCTTTCAGCTTGATCCCCAATATCACAAAACCAAATGCAGGAATAAATGGAAGAATCACATACCAGATAGTTATTTTTAGTTTTCTTTGGAGGGTGGTGGGTCAAGTGTCATGCACTTGTGTGGAGGTTCTCTTGTGGAGGAAGCTGGTTCTCTCCTGTTTTTTGGTTCCCAGGGATCAAACTCGGGTCTTCAAGCTTGGTAGGAAGCACCTTTATCCATTAAGCCATCTCACTGGCCCCATCTAGCCTTTCTCTTCTTCTTTTATTTTCTTCTTTTACTTTTTATGTATGAGTGCTCTGCTATATGTATGCCTGCATACCGGAAAGGGGCATCAAATCCCTTACAGGTGGCTGTGAGCCACCAGTTGAACTCAGGACCTCTGGAAGAGCAGCTAGTGCTCTTACCAGCTGTGATGGGAATATTACTTTAAGGTGTGTTAACTTTTGTTTATGCTGCATTTGTTTAACTCTGAAGCTGTGGTTCTTTGCCTATCTAAAACACCTGATGGTCTAACAAAGCGCTGAATGGCTGATAGCAAGGCAGGATAGGCTGGCAGGCAGAGAGTGTAAATAGGAGACACGAGGAAGAAGAGGGGCAAGAGAACAAGAGGATATCAAGTCACCCAGCTACACAGCCAGTCATTGAGTAAGAAGGAATGTATACAGAAGTAAGAAAGGAAAAAGCCCAGAGGCAAAAGGTAATTGGGATAATTTAATAAAAGCTGGCAAGAAACAAGTCAAGCTAAAGCTGGGCATTCATAAGCAAGAATAAGTCTCCGTGTGTGATTTATTTGGGAGTTGGGTGGTGGGTCCCCCAAAACGACAAAAGAGTAAAACATCACATAACATTTTTGTGTCCCACGTTGGAGCCAATTGTTTTCTTATTTATTTATTTTTAAATAGAAATCAAACTATTTTTTTTTTCATTTTACTTACCAATCCAGTTCCAATTCCCTCCTGTCCTCTCATTCCTTCATTTCCCCCATTCCACCCCCATCCACTCCTCAGAGAAGGCAAGGCACATTGCTTTGAGGAAGGACCAAGGCCCTCTTTACTATATCTAAGCTCAGCAAGGAATCCATCCAAAGAGAATATGTTCCATAAAGCCAGTACAAGCAATAGGGATAAATCCTGATGCTACTGCTAGTGGCCCCTCAGTCTGCCCCAACCCATACAACTGTCACCAACATTCAGAGGGACTAGTTTGGATCTATATGCTTTTTCCTTCCCTGTCCAGCTGAAGTTGGTGAGCTCCCATTAGCTCAGGTCGACTGTTTCAGTGGTTGTCCCCATCATGATCTTGACCTCTTTGCTCATATTCTCACTCCTACCATTAAGCTATAGCTATCGTAATGAGCAACTGCAGTTCTGCTGCTACTGGCAGCTGTTCCTTAGCTGCAGCGAGTAAATTCTATTCCCTCAGGTACCAACTCTTTCAAAGTTACCAAGGGAACTTAACTAAGTCTCTGTCCCTCTAAAGAACTCAACTCACACTTGGCCTCACCTCTCCTTAAAAATCCTTCATCTGGCTCCTCCCTACAACTTCCTGTCATTTAGTTGCTGACTCAGCCTCCTGACCACAGGTGAATTTTATTTAATCAAACACATCTTTGCATTATTAAACATATGTTCCAGAGCATAAACAAAGGTAATGCACCTTAAAATAATATTCTACAACACTGCCGAGCCATCTCTCCAGCTCCTTTCATAACATTCTTAATGAAAGGAAAATGAAACTTCCATATCATGAGCTAAAGGAGTCAAATTTTGTATTCTCAGTACTTAAACTTCATAGGGACAGATCCAGTCTCCATGTATCCCATGGTGATATAAAGCACTTGCTAGCTACTCTCAGTTGTGTTTCATGAGTGTTTGAATGTGTGTAGTGTGCATGACTCCATTCCCAGTGTAACACATACGCAGTGATCTGTTCATTGGTAGAGTAAAACTGGTGACCTGAAGATGCAGGAAGGAAGAGGAATGAACTTGGACATCCCACAAGTCTTTCTGCATTTCTGTATTCCATTTCTTGTCCTTTTGTCCTTACAGTCTTTGCTCTGACTCCTGCTTCTAAACTTGTTTGCCTCCTCCACCCTACTCCGCCCTCTTCCAGCCCATTCACATGCATGTACTGTGTATAGTTTCTCTCATGTGCACCTATAGTTTTCTGTTTGTCCTTTCCATAAAAGATCTACATATTTGTGTTATGTATTCTTTTGTAGGAATAGCAAGCTGAAGCTCCAGTTCTATTAGATGGGCTAAGAAGGTGCTCTAGTTCATTAAAGTAATTACTGTAATGTGGGTGCCAGAGTTTCCCAGGGGGATGTGTACAACACATACTTGTGCAGGGAAGGAGGTGAGGACAACCCATGCTGATGTGACTGGGCAGGTTGCAACCTTTCAGTATTATTTTTCTGAGCACCAGGGAATTCCCCTGTCCATGCTCCCAGGAGGGTGACCATCCTCTCCTCTCTCCAAAGAGCAGGAACTAGGGATCAGGTGTATATTTGGACCTTCTTTTTCAACCAGTGTTGCTAGTGCTAGTCTGTAATGGCTTTCTAACTTATTCATCTTTTGGTTTAAGTGAGAGAATCAGACTCAGAAAAACTTCAAATCCAATGTCACTGCACTGTGTTTTAGTCACTGTTCTAAAATACTGTGACAAGACACCATGACCATGGTGACTGTTATAAAGGGAAATATATAATTGGGGCTGGCTTACAGTTTGAGAGGGCTAGTCCATTATCATCAGGGTGGGGAGCATGACAGCAGGTAGGGCAGGCATGGTGCTTGAGAAGTAGTTAAGGGCTACATCATTTCAAAGAGCTCCACCTCCTGGTGGCTAAGCATTTTCTTATTCAAACCACTTTGTACTGCTATGCACTTTTTGTATTATAACTTTATTGAAACATTTTATATACATCTTCAAATTCACTTTTATTTTATCTTTGTGCATGCCTGCATGTGTAAGTTCAGGCATGTGTTTGTCATAGTGCACATCTGGAGGTCAGAAGACAGCCTCGGTTTCATTTCTCACCTTGATGAGAGCTCTGTTGTTTATTACAAGGTACAATAGGCTGACTGACTCCTTGAGCTTCTGGGATTCCCACCTCACCTCCCATCTCACTACAGGAGTGCTGGAATTAGGGCTTTCTACAGCATCTGGCTTTCTGTGGGTCTGCGCTGTTCATGTTTAAGAGGCAAGTTCTTAGCCCCACTGAGCCAGCATCTCCCAGCCCAGACAGAGCTGTGCACTCATCCCACTGATGGCACATCTGTGCTTCCACTAGTGTGTCCTCCCTAATCAGAGTGTCCTCTCTAGAGCTGTCGTTTAGGGCCATCAGTGTCTCTGCCTTTTAGCTATTAGCCTGCCAGTCTCCACCAACAATTTAAGAAGAAAGAATTGCATTGATATCATGATGGCCTTTTTATACAAAGAAGGCTTTTTCATTTTTTGTTTAGAACAGTTTTTTCCCAATACTGTCCTTGCTTGAGACCAGGCTCTGAGCCTTACTCTTGCATAAATGAAACCGCAGGTGATAGATACCTTCCTCTCTTCCTGCTCCCACCCCCTTGAAGGCTATGGAAATGGCAGTAAGCATTTTCATCATTACACCTAGTTGGCTTTGGGCCAAGTTCTTTAGTCTGTTGCCAACCTGTTTCCTGAGTTTATCCATCGTCTCCACTTCAGGTTTCTATCCTCTGCAAGACAGCTCACCTTAAGGTTTTAGTTCTAACTGCCACCCTGGCAATGACTGGCCTTCTCTCCCTTATACCTACTGTTCCTAGTGCTGAGGGTGGAGGTTGTGATTTCCTTTCACCCCTACCAGGTTTCTGGCATGCACTCTGTCACCCTCCCCTGAGCTGGCACCCACGCCTTCATGCATGCACTCTCCTGCTTTGTCTTGTTTTTTGCAGTTTGAGTTGGATTGGTTTTTTTATACACTGCTACCAAATAAAATTTCCTTTGTGCTGTTTTAATAATATTTAGGTACCTTATACTCCCTAGAAACTTCTCATTGGCTTTAGAATTAAAAATACAGACTAAGAGTGGGCATGATGGCTCATGTCTCTAATTCCCAGCACTGGGGTAGGCAGAAATAGGCAGATCTCTGTGAGTTTAAGGCTAGCCTTGTCTATATAGCAAGTTCCAGGCCAGCCAGAGTGGTATAGTGAGATTCTGTCTCAAACATTTAAATTAAATTAAATTTAAGAATATAAGCCCTTTTCGGGAAATAGTGCACGCCTTTAGTCCCAGCATGAGGGAAGTAGAGGCTTGTGGATCTTTGTGAGTTCGATACCAGTCTGGTCTACATAACAAGGTCCAGGACAGCCATAACTACATAGAGAAACCTTCTCTCAAAAACAAACAAAACAAAAAATGAAACAAAACAGGATAAATATACACCTAATACCTTAATGTTCAGGGTTCCTCAGGAACCTGCCTTGTGTTCTATTTGTCTTACTTCAAGCCTAATGTCTGCTTAGACAGTTGTATTTCCTGACCGCTTGCGTGTGCTTTGCAGCTGACACATCCCGGTGTTGCCTCCACCCTTGCCTCATGGCTGGGCTTTCATGGTGTCCTCCTCACACTCTGTCTGCATTCTCATTTTTCTGCCAACAAATGGATATTTCCTTTTCTTTGAAATCTCAAGTCAGTTTATCTTCTTAGTAGTATTTTTTATTTATTTCTTTTCTCTTTCNGGGACCAGGGGGCCCTTTCCAGCATAGTGGGAGCTCACGACCACTTCACAGCTCCAGTTCTAGGGAATCTGATGTCCTTAGGCACCAGACACGTGGTATAGATAGACACACATGCAGGCCGCACACCCATACACATAAAACAAGTAAGCATTTTAAAAAGGAATAATGTAAGTCTTATCATTGTACAACAAAGCCCGGGGCATATATCAGAAACAAATACCACCTTTCTAAACAAACAAAATAAGTTACCCTGTCTCCAGGCTTTAACACAGGCTCATTTTTGGTCCCCAGTTTATTAAGCAGCGTGTAAGCCAACTTTAAACTTCTGCTCCACAACTTCCCTGAGAAAAGAAAACAATCAGACAGAAGAGATTATAGGCCTATTTCAGCCAGAGAGCACTGGGTTCAGCATGCAGACAGTCACCAGCGGCTGCGATGAGCTGGCACCACCCTCCCCAACACAGAAGTCTCCCCTCAAGCAGCCTCTCGGGCACTTTAAAGAGCCACTCTTGCCCAGGACAAATGAAGCACACCCTGCCTTACTTAACAGTTCAAGTTCTTTCCTGCCATTTGTTTTTTCTCTTTTTCTTTTTGAGACAGGGTCTTACTATCCTGGGACATGCTACGTAGACCAGGCTGGCTTCAAGTCCACAGACATCTGTCCACTTCTGCCTCCCAAGTACTGGGATTAAGGTGAGTGCCACTGATATATGGCTCATTTCAATTTTTTTTTAAAATAATGTAACAAGAGCATACTTAATACCTTTAAAGAGAGGACAACATTTTTTGTTTGTCTGCTTTACAACACAAGACTAAAAAACAGTTGGCTATGTCCTAGGGTTTTCTGGAAGGTTTAACTCAAATGATTAAAAAAATACTATAAATGGAGTAAGCTGAGCATGGGCTCCTAACAATAATGCTACCCTGCAGAGACTGAGGCAGGAAGATTTCTTCTGCTTCAAGGCCAGACTGGGTTACATAGTGAAATTTTGTCTTATAGAACTAAGATCAAAAGAGAAGCTGGTTCTAGGAGCCATACAGCTATACTCATAGGTGTCAGATGACCGTTGGAGGGAGGGGCTAGTCAGTGCCACGATTTATGCCTGCAACTCAGAAATCAGGAGACTAAGAGAACCGAGAGTTCAAGGCCATCCCGGGCTACATGAACTTTCTCTCAGAAACATAAAACAAACAAAAACAAATCTTCTAATGTAAAAACAAAAAGGAATCTTCTTTTGCTGCCCTTAAACCTAGCTGCTTACCCACATCACTTTAGCAAATGAAAGTGTTTGGCAATAGCTCCACCTGGAACACAGGGTCTAATGAAATAATCCAGACACATGCAACCGAGAACTACCCAAAGAAGCGCTGCCCCGAGTCCTTGAGAAATCTTAGCGCAGTGGGGACCCACCGTATGTGAGTGTATATACTGGTTTCCCAGACATGTCCAGCCCGGTCAGACAGGGGCACTTGGCTTGGGTGGAGCCCCAGCGCTGCAGGGCAGATTCCAGCGCAGGGGGCCAGTTACAGATGACTCCAAGGGGCTCTCCCTTCACTGGCATCATTTGTCGGCCCTCAGGCCTTGGTTGGTTGGGATCTGGCTGAGGTACTGCAGCAAACAGGCAAGAAGATGAAGTAAGTTCACGTGTTTCTAACTCCAACTCGAACACATTTTCCTCTGTCTCTCTCTGGCTCATTCTCGCAGTGAGGCGCTAGGGCTTCCATCATCCTCCCAAGGAGTTACAGCTTCCAGGGAAGGGATGGCTTACTCCCATCACAGCTTACAGAGCCCCAAATGCAAGGGCTGCTTAACGGTGTTAGTTGAGTGAAGAGAGAGGAACACCTACACCAGGCATCAGAGAGATTGTTTATACTCAAAATATACGCTGTAGGTTTTTCTTTTTTTAAAATATTTATTTATTTATTGTGTATACAATATTCTGTCTGTGTGTATGCCTGCAGGCCAGAAGAGGGCACCAGACCCCATTACAGATGGTTGTGAGCCACCATGTGGTTGCTGGGAATTGAACTCAAGACCTTTGGAAGAGCAGACAATGCTCTTAACCTCTGAGCCATCTCTCCAGCCCCAACTTGCTTTTTAAGTTCAAAGTTAGGATTGAGTTATAAGCAGCTGGACATAATGGCCCATACATTTAATCCTAGCACTTGGGAGGCAGAGGAGGATCTCTGCCTGTTCAATGCTAACCTGATCTACAAAATGAGTTCCAGGACAGCCAGGCTACACAGAGAAAAAAAATTATGTATAAGAGATTTATACTGAATTAAGCACCTTAGTTGATTAATTATTTAGTCACAAATTTTTAAACTTTCTTTTTTATTGTTTAGGTGGTTCCAAAACCAATCAATTCAACTTCACAAATTGTAACTACTAGCCAGCCACAGCAAAGGCTTATCATGCCTGCCACACCCCTGCCGCAGATCCAGCCCAACCTCACTAACCTGCCACCGGGAACTGTGCTGGCCCCTGCTCCAGGGACAGGGAATGTGGGCTATGCAGTGCTTCCAGCTCAGTATGTTACTCAGGTACGTGGGCATGACAGACTAATGCTTTGGAGCTGCTCTGTGGTATTACAGTGTCTAGTTCTACTGTGTTCTAAGGTTAATTGAAGCAGCTGTCTCCAAAGCTTGAAATAGTAAAATAGAAATACAGCACAAATAAGATTTAAAAGCTGGAGCCGGGCGATGGTGGCGCACGCCTTTAATCCCAGCACTCGGGAGGCAGAGGCAGGCGGATCTCTGTGAGTTCGAGACCAGCCTGGTCTACAGAGTGAGCTCCAGGACAGGCTCCAAAACCACAGAGAAACCCTGTCTCTAAAACCAAAAAAAAAAAAAAAAAAAAAAAAAAGATTTAAAAGCTGGGTAATTTGGAATTTTGGAATAGATTGGTAAAAGGATAAGACTATAGATAAGGGCTTTTAAAAGGTTGCCTTGGGAATCTCTGAGTTCAATGCCAGCCTGGTCTCTACAGCTAGAACTGCTAACAGAAAAACCCTGTCTGAGAAAACAAAACAAAGTTGACATTAAAAATCAGAATCCCAGTGAGTTTTAGGAGAACCTGTGCCCACATGAATGTTCATCTGTACGCACTAATACGACACCATTGGCTTGTGCTTAAAATAGCTGGGAGTTACATTACTTGGGGACTCTTTGAGACAGGCAGCTTAGGTTGGCTTGGAATTCACCATGCCTCCACCTTCCGAGTGCTGGGAGGATGGGCATGAGCTAACACACACACACACACACACACACACACACACACACACACACACACACACACACAGAGAGAGAGAGAGAGAGAGAGAGAGAGAGAGAGAGAGGGAGAGGGAGGTTGTGTGTACATATGGTATGCATGTACATGTATGAGGGGCACATGTCTGCAAGTGTGTATGCACTTCACATAAGTGTGCACACTTGGGCCACCACAGTTGCTGGGCATTTACATGAGTGCTTGGAATCCAAACTCCAATACTCTTTTTGTTTGGAATCTCCAACTGGGGGTGGGGCACGTTCCAGACCCCACTTTCAGTACACCTAGCAGCAGCTTCCTGAAGCTGCCTCATTCCAGACTCCGCCCCTCAGAGAAGTCCGCCTTTGGTGGCTCCTCCCCTGGAGATGCATGGGACCACGCCTACCGGCTGTTTATTACCTGGCTCTTAGTTCTGCCATGTGTTCTTTTTTCCTGCCTTCCTGAGAATCTCCTGGGGGTGCTCTACTTTGCATTGCCCTGTTTATTAAATCTGGATTTATTAATTTGGTTTATTGCATTGGTGGCAGCAGAGGAACTCAGCAACTAGGTATTTAATACTTCACACTTTTCTTTGTTTATTTGTTTTTGAGACAGAGTTTGTCTTTGTTAGGGTTTCTATTGCTGTGAAGAGACATCAGGATCATGGCAACTCTTGTAAAGGAAAACATTTAATTGGGTGGCTCACAGTTCAGAGATTCGGTCTATTATTGTCATGGTGGGACATGGCAGCATACAGGCAGCCGTGCTGGAGACAGAACTGAAATTCCTACATCTTGATCCAGAGGCAACAGGAAGTACACTGAGGGAAGCTTGAGCAAAAAAGACCTCAAATTCCACCCCTGCTGGGCAATGGTGGCAGATCCCAGCACTGGGGAAGTAGAAGCAGGTAGATCTTTGTGAGTTTGTGGCTGGCCTGATCCACAGAGCAAGTTCCAGGACAGGCAAAGCTGTTACAAGGAGAAATCTTGTCTCAAAAAACAAAACGAAACAAACAAACAAACAAAAATCCACCCTCTTAGTGACACACTTTCTCTAACAAAGCCATACCTCCTAATAATATCATTCACTCCCTACGAGTTTATGTGGACAAATTATATTCAGACTACCACAGAATTTTTTGGTGTAGCCCTGGCTGACCTGGAATTTGCTCTTATAGACCAGGCTGGCCTGGAATTCAACAGAGATCCTTCTGCCTCTGCTTCCCAAGTACTGGGATTAAAGGTGAGCACCACCACTGCCTGGCTTGATCTTCTCTGTTGTATGGCAAATCCCTTTTTTACTATTTGTAATGTGGTAAATAACACAGCACCTCTCTTACAGGTGGGCACACTGTAACAATGCTGTGAAACAGTCACGCTGTAACAGGCAGCGCTGTGAAACAGTCACACTAACAGCACTGTGAAACAGCCACACTGTAACAGTCAGTGCTGTGAAACAGTCATGCTGTAACAGTCAACAATGTGAAACAGTCATGCTGTAACAGTCAACAATGTGAAACAGTCATGCTGTAACAGTCAGTGCTGTGAAACAGTCACGCTGTAATAGTCAGCACTGTGAAATAGTCACGCTGTAATAGTCAGCACTGTGAAATAGTCACGCTGTAATAGTCAGCACTGTGAAATAGTCACGCTGTAATAGTCAATGCTGTGAAACAGTCATGCTGAAACATTCAGCATTGTGAAACAAGTCATGCTGTTAACAGTCAGCACTGTGAAACAGTCACGCTGTAACAGTCAGTGCTGAGAAGCAGTCATGCTGTTTCACTGGTGTTGACTGAGGGCTTTGGAAACACACTAGAGGTTTATATGAAATTCCCCACTGTTTGTCCTGTGCTTCTTACTCATTATGTCTGAGAGTGCTATCCATTTTTGCAAATATTATATGAATTTATTTCTTATAGTTACAGCAGTCTTCGTATGTGTCTATAGCAAGCAGCTCTAATTTTACTGGAACATCTGGTATCCAGACACAGGCAAGACTTCCATTCAATGGGTGAGTATTTTTAAAATATATAAATCAAATTAGGTCAGTTTAAGTACAGCATTAAATAGATTTATTCCAAATACATTGCATTTGGTTTTCCCTTTAAAGCTGTGTATTTGTCTAAAGTGCTGTGTTCCTAAATACTTCAAATGGACAAGTTTGGAGACCATCAGTGAGGGACTGCCACTCACTCTGAACATTGTAAAGTGATGTTAACTGTTGTTTTTCACTGTCATTGCTTAGCTGTTAGTTGCTGCCTTTGCTCTACCAGCTTGTGAGCAGTGTGGAATGAGTTAGAGGGTGCCAGTCTGTCCCTGCTTGCTGCCTGTCCTTCCACACACCAACCTCTCCTTCCTGCCTGCCTTTACAAGTAAACCCTAAGAGTTTTTGAAGCTGTTTTCTACTTCTGTTCTTTTAGAGGGAACAGTGTGTGTGATGTAGTCTTCAACAGCTTCTGATAATATTTTTTTAAAATATAAATGGAATAATCTTGCAAAATTGTGCTAGAAATGGATGCATCTATTAGTTTTACTTTAGAAGGAATTTATAGATTGAAATTGTTTCTAGTTTTAGCAATTATTTTAATTAATTGAAATTATTTTTTTGTGTGTGTCTGGATAGCATAATACCATCAGAGTCTGCCAGTCGGCCCAGAAAACCCTGTAACTGTACAAAGTCCCTGTGCCTGAAATTGTGAGTAGTTTGTTGCTCTTTGCTTATTTGATACGCCTCAGAATGTTATTAGAATTAAATGCCGCTAGTTGGGCATGCTAGTACAAGCACATAGTCTAGCACTTGGAAATGGAGTCAGAAGGGTCCTCAGCTACAGAGTGAGCTTGAGGCCAGCCTGAACTACGTGGAACCTACAGGTAGCTAGATGATAGATAGAGAGATCTAGTTAAAAAACAGACAAATTTTATTAAATCTTAACAATTTAAATAAACTTAAATGTGAATGGTTGAACATACATTGTACCTTAAAAACCATCCTTCCATTGGTTTAGAAGAAATTAATCCAGGCATGGTAGCCTATGCCTATAGTCCTGTCACTGGGGAGACTGGGGCAGGAAGATCAACAGTTCAGGATCATCATGGACTATCTATGGTAGTGGGTTTAGGACAGCCTAGACCACAGTGTAAGACCCTGTCTGTAAAAACAACAAACAAAAACAGAAGAAACTAATTTTAGTCCTCTATACACCAGTAGGGCTTGGGGACCTAACACAATGAGACGTAGGTTATGTGTCATTATTAATAAGTTTGACCTTGTTCATGATCTTATGTCGTCCCCCAAGCAAGTCCTTCAATGCAGGGCTGGAGACCTGGCTCAGGAGTTAAGAGCACTAGTTACTCTTGCAGAGAACAACCACTTGGGGTTCAATTCCCAACACCCAGTGGTTGCTCACAGTCACCTGTAACTTCCATCCTGGAGCATCCAATGCCCTCTTCTGACCTCCATGGGCTCCATGCACATACATACATGCAGCAAAAACACTCATACACATAAAAAACAATTAGAAAAAGTTAATTGGATGATTAATTTTATCATTAGGATTAAACTAAAATATTTGACATGGAAAAGCTCAGTCCTTTTGGAGATTGGGATTCCAAGCAGCACTGTTCCAGAGCCTTTGGGGTCTGTAGTAAGAATGAAGGCCGGCCCTTTTTCTCAGGATTTTGAAATAACTCACTTCAGGGCACATCAAATTACATAGCTCTTGTGTTGGCATCTGTTAGTTTGACTGAGTTTTTAGGATAAAATTCCAGAGTTGGTGACTTGCTTAGATTTTGAGCTCTGATGCATGATTGGCAGTCTGAATGTACTGCTGATAGTTAACTCTGTTTCATGATTGGCAGTCTGAATGTGCTGCTGATAGTTAACTCTGTTTCATGATTGGCAGTCTGAATGTACTGCTGATAGTTAACTCTGTTTCAGGAGCTCCGAGCATGTTCCTAAAATGTACTGCATTTATCACAGGTGGAGAGGTGTACGCATATATAATCAGATCATTGCTATTTTATTTAAAATAACTTTTTAATCTTATCTGATTTTTATCTTCAGATACTGTGATTGTTTTGCGAATGGTGAGTTTTGCAACAACTGCAATTGTACCAATTGTTACAACAATTTGGAACATGAAAATGAAAGACAAAAAGCAATAAAGGTGATTTTTTTTCTCATTTAACTTAGAAAAATCTCTTGTGCCATTTCTAAAGAATTTTGTTGCTTTATAAAGATAAATATTAATTCTGTACCTTTGAAGTATTTAAGTTGAATCTATGATTTAATCTCAGTTGGTGTTTGATTTGCTCCAAAAGGCATGCCTTGATAGAAATCCAGAAGCCTTTAAGCCGAAGATAGGGAAAGGCAAAGAGGGGGAGTCGGATCGGCGGCACAGCAAAGGGTGTAACTGCAAACGGTCAGGATGTCTTAAGAACTACTGTGAGTGCTACGAGGTAAGCCGTGGCTGTGGACAGGATTTCACCGTGCTTTAATTGAAAAGACGCAGTTAGTGCAGGGAGACCTTTCAAGCCACGTTTGAGAAAGCTGTTCCTAACAGGGGTGGTGGTGCACGCCTTTAATCCCAGCACTGGGGGGCAGAAGCAGGCAAATCTCCCAGCTGGGTTTGTTCCTGGACCTGCTGTTTTCTCTGGAGAATCGCATGTAAAATCACCTGCTTCTTGCTTCAGGCAAGATCATAAACTTACTATTTTTTTTTTTTATTTTCAAAGCTTAAATGTAACAATCTCCCCATGCCTGATATTAACCCTTTGTGTTGATTCATTCCTATAGTTAGATTGTCTATATTTTCAATCTTTTTTTTTTGTTTTTTGTTTTTTTTTTTTTTCAAGACAGGGTTTCTCTGTGGCTTTGAACTAGCTCTTGTAGACCAGGCTGGTCTCGAACTCACAGAGATCCGCCTGCCTCTGCCTCTCAAGTGCTGGGATTAAAGGCGCGCGCCACCACCGCCACCACCGCCCGGCTATTTTCATTCTTTCAAATGCCATTTTCAGTGAGGAACTTCCCCCACCCTCAGTTTTGACAGAAAGTCCATTCTTTCACTTGGCAAACAGTACTGCTAATGGGTCCCCTCTCCTGCGCTCCTGTTGCTGTGTGTACTGAAGGTTTGGATTTTCGGGGTTAGTTATTTAGTGTATGTGTTTGTGTTTGAGACAGGTTTGTGTTTGAGACAGGTTTGTGTTTGACACAGCCTAGGTTGGCCTTGAATCGATGGCTCAAGTTGGCCTCGAATTACTAATCCTCCTGCTCCTGTTTTCCAAGTGCTAGGATTATAGTTGTGGGCCTCCACACTTAGCTCCAGTCTGTGTTTTCATGTAAATATACTTTATATTTTTACACAGGAGAGCATACTAGTTTATGGATTTAGATTATTGAAGGGCTTGGGAATCTGATTCAGTAGAAGAAACTGTGTGTGGCCTCCTTTCTCCCTTTCTCCTTTGGAGATGAGATATCACACTTGTAACCTAGCCTGGCCTCAAATTCATGACAATTTTTTTGCCTCATCTGATCAAGCTTAGGCATGAAATCCCTTTAATGTGAAACCGTGAGTTTCTCTGCATAACTGTGAGGTATCTGGTGTGTTAATGGTGATTTGATTGAGGTTGGATTCTTAGCAACCTTTTAAAAATACTTTCATATCTTATATTCATTCTGAAGAAAGTGTTAGTCCTATCTGTGTGAGACTCTGTAGTTAGAGTCAAAGAGCTGCAAGGCCTTGAGACAAGCACTGTTGTCAACTAATCCTGATCTATCTGCAGGTGCAGCCTTTGTTAGCAGACTTGCTCCATCTAAGCTCACCTCAGTTGACAAGACAATGCTGTTACTTTTCTGCTGCGGACTTACTTACAAATAATATTTTCTGCTTTTGATTTGGAAACTTGTAAATCTTTCAGGCAAAAATAATGTGTTCCTCAATCTGTAAATGCATTGGCTGTAAGAATTTTGAAGAAAGCCCAGAACGGAAGACCTTGATGCACTTAGCAGATGCAGCTGAAGTAAGGGTCCAGCAACAGACGGCAGCCAAGACCAAGCTATCCTCTCAAATCTCAGACTTGCTGACCAGGCCAACTCCCGCTCTGAACAGTGGAGGAGGAAAGTGAGTCAATACTTCTCAAAGCCTTTTTATCTCTTTCTCAGATGTTCGCTTTTAGTAAGGTTTCTTTTTAGGGAGACAGGGTTAAATTCAGACTTTACACTGTTGCCAACCTGAATTTTCCATTTTCCCTCCACCTTACCTACCTTTTAAGTTAGTCGAAGGAAAACCACTCTCAGATTCTGTGCTTTCTACAAAACACAGACGGTCTTTGGTTTGCTATGAATAGTAACTGGATTTCTCCCTACCAACTTGAGGTACGTATGCAATGTGTGAAACTCTTGAGAAAGCAGGGTTTCATTTTTCCAGTGTTGCTCCTCATTTCCTTGTGCTCTTGGCTAGACTGCGAGACTATGTTCTGACTTTTCCTCCTGCTAGTGGACTCTGAATTGCCCTCTGTAGTCCACTCCCCTATTTCTGCTTTTCTGGACTGCTGAGCTCGGTTGTAGAGCAGCTTGTCCTAAGACAGACAGTAGGTACAATCTTGGCTGCTTTTACTGCTCAGGAGCTGAGGCAGGAATCATTTAGAGTTCCAGGGAAGCCTGTGCAGTAGAGCAAGACCCCATCTCAAAACAAAATAAAAAATAAACAGCTGAGCATGGTGGCACACACCTTTAATCCCAGCACTCAGGAAGCAGAGACAGGTGGATTCCAGCCTGGTCTACAGAACAAGTTCCAAGACAGCCAGGGCTACACAAAGAAACCCTTTCTTGAAAAACCAATAAATAAGTAATATTAAATTAATTAGTAAAATAAAAATAAAGGTATTATATATAAAGTACATAACATAATTACCTGAAAAGAATATATGCCAAAGTGTTTAAAAATTAATAATAAAGGATAAAAATAGGTAGACCTGTATTTTTTATCTAAATTACTTACTAGTCTGTGGAAAAAAACACCTGTGTTTCTGGTCTCAGCTTCCTGATAACTGCATGAAGAATTTCTGTTGGCAGTATTTTTCAAGGTCTATTTTTTAACACAGTAATTTGGACTTGGACTTATATTAGACAGTGTATTAGAGATTAATTTGAGAAATTAAAGAGGATGAACCTTGCAAATGATTTATTGTAGCAATCAGCATGTAGGTCATGACCTCTTTGAGGCTTTAATGGCCTTTTCACAGGGCTCACCCAAGACCACCCTAAATATTAGATAGTTACATTATAATTTATGACAGAAGCAAAATTACAGTTATGAAGTAACAAAATAATTTTATGGTTGGAGAATCTCTATAACATGAGGAACTGTGTTAAAGAGTCTTAGCATTAGGAAGATTGAGAATATCTATTAAATGCTGAATTATGTTGAAGAAAGGTATAATATTTGTAACTTTTTTGGTATAAAGTAGTTTGGTTATTAGGTTTTTCCCCCCCCTTTTGTTTTAATTTTTAGAGACAGGATCTTACAATGCAGCCCGTACTGGCCTTGAATTCACACTCCTTCCAGCTCAGCCAGGGTTACACAACTGTGCTGACACCCAACTCACCTATGCGTTTATACAACTCAGTGTGTGAGTGTGATATTGAGGAGGTCAAAGGAAGCTGTGTGGAGTGGGTTCTCTCTTCATGCCTGTCTTGTGTCCAGGGACGGAACTCTGGTTGTCACACTGGCCATCACGATGGTCTCTTAGAATGGAAATAGCATTTACAAAATTTTCTTGACTTAAGTGTGATAAAAAGGGACAGATACCTAGTTAGGATTATGATATAGATTCTGTATAATATTTTAATGATTCTTAAATATTACTAAATCTAATCTCTGGATATTAAAGATATTACTACAGTAACCCCCCCCCCATGTCCATAATGTAAGTGTAAACACAAGGTTATACACTGTAGGGCTGGGGGTATACAGCTCAGTGGTAGAGCATTTGTATGTATGAGGAGGTCTTGGGTTTAACCCCCTGAAACAAACACACACACACACTGCACATGTAATTAAAGCTATGTTTTTAAAACAATTGCTTAAGGCGGGGGAGATAGCTCAGTAAAGATGTACCTGAATTAGATCACCAGAACACACATTTAAACAAAAAACTGGACATTTTATTGGGTGGTGGTAGCACACACCTTAAAAGCCTAGCACTCGGAGGTAGAGGCAGATGGATCTCTGAGTTCCAGGCCAACCTGGTCTACAGAGTGAATTACAGGCCAGCCAGGGCTACACAGAGAAACCCTGTTTTTGAAAAACCAAAACCAAAACAAAACAAGGCTGGCGTGGTGATGTATACTGCTAACCCAGTACTCTGACAAGTAGGTAGGAAAATCCCTGCAGCTCATTGACCAACAAGCATAACCTACTTGATGAGTTTCAGACCAGTTGAGTCCTCAAAAGACCCTAGGTAGACTACTCAAGGAATAATGCAGGTTGTCTCCTCTTGCCTCTGTGTGCACATGTGTTCATACATGCATCCACACACTCAATGCACATGGACATACACTAAGAGAAAGGTGAAACTGAAAACTTACACCAGTATGCTCAGTTGATGTCATACCTGAGTTTGTTTTGTTTTGTTTTTTTGAGACAGAGTTTCTCTGTATAATAATAGTCCTGGCTGTCCTGGAACTCGCTCTGTAGACCAAGCTGGCCTCAAACTTGAAGAGATCTGCCTGCCTCTGTCTCCCAAGTGCTGGTAGTAGATGTGTGTGCCACACATTTTTGCTCTTTGTTTTTAACAGCTACCATAAGAGAGTGTAGTAGAAATTTAACAGCTAACGTAAGAGAGTGTAGTAGAACTTTGTTTCAGCAGTTCTTTGAGTTCCTAGGTATGGCCGTGGAATCCCTTTGTGTGTCAGGAAAGAGGACAGAAATCAGAACAGCTCTCGCGGAGGGTTTGCACGCTGGGAAGATGGGAGTGGTGAGACACGCAGTGTAGGTGCACACTGCATCATTTACTTAGCCAGATGACACGTCTGGGAAGTCAATCATATGTTTTAGGTTAAACGTATTTCCTGCTAAATATTGTTAGATGTGCTTGCTGAGAGCAAACCTGTATCTTAATGTCTTGAGACTGCTGACTCACAAACCTGTATCTTAATGTCTTGAGACTGCTGACTCACAGACCGATGTCCCTGATGCTACTGCAGCATGAGGATGCCAGTAGAGACCAAGGCCAACCTCACGGTCATCTGTGCTTCTCTCAAAATCATTTCAGATTGCCATTTACGTTTGTAACTAAGGAAGTAGCTGAAGCCACGTGTAATTGCCTTCTTGCCCAGGCAGAGCAGGCAGACAAGAAGGGGAAATCAAAGGCAGCGGCAGAACGGATGATACTTGAGGAATTTGGACGGTGTTTGATGAGCGTCATCAACTCTGCAGGAAAAGCAAAAAGTGACCCTTGTGCCATGCACTGCTAATTCTTGCACAAAAGACGGACATGGAACTGTACAGAAAATTTAAGGTGCCAGGACACTTGATTTTCTAGAAGATAATAATTGCTGTATTTTAATTCAGCCTTTGTTTTAAGAGACCAGAAACTATACTATTGAATGAGAAGAAATTTTAAATGAAGAAATTGGTACATTTTAAATCTTAGTTAATTCTGCCTATGTCCCTTCTAAATTTTTTCTTTAAAATTTTTTCCTTTATTGTATTATATATTTTTTTAATTTGCTTGGGTTTCTTAAGAATTAGATGTTCTGTCCTGATTCTATTGACAAAGTACATTCATAAATTATTGTAATACCATTTATGATGTATGGTGTTGTATGACTTTGTTCAGTAGAAAGAGCCAAGGCAGCATGGGTATTTTCCATTCTTTGGCTCCAGATCCAGAATCTTCACAGGTAGAATGTCCACATAACCAGATTCTTAATGAAACATATAACATTTTGTCTAGAAAAACACCACCCTTTTAAGGAAAAAAATCAGCCTTTTTGGGTGGGTTCTGTAATACTATCTTTTGTCTTTGGGAAATTAGAAGGGAAAACAATCCCAATCATACTTTCCAGTTATGAAGTTTGTATTTTCTTTAAAGAAAACAAAATATCAAGGGACAGTAATTTTCAGAGGATGGGCAGTGTCTGTGATAAGGAATGGCTAATGTGTTCTGGGATGTCTTCATTCCTTTGAAGGGGGTGGTTTGTTTTGTAATAATTGTCAAAGTTTTTATGGATAATTACTAAAATGAGAGATTGTGTGAATTGAAGTAAACATTTTATGTCAAGATTAAATATAGGACTCATAAGTATCAAGTAGAGAATGGACTTGGATGGAGAAGCAAGGGTACAAAGCTGTGAGATTATGTACGATGAAGTTTTTATCCACACAGTTCTCTGTAGACTTTGGAACTAAGTTTGAATCAGTGTGTGTCACCTGATTTACTGGAGTGGGCCTCCTGGCAGCTTTCACGATTGAAGTGAGCTATCTTTTTATAAAGGTAGTTTAATACAGCTGCTTTGTTTTTAGCCAGTGATTTGGTAAGCTGAGGTGTGTTTGCTCTCATAATTGCAAAAATAACCTAAATAATTTTTAGTAATTAAAAACTGTATAATCTTAAGAGCCTAATGTAATAGGACTCTTGAGTGTTTGACAATGGGAAAAACTATGTTGGAATTGAGGCATTTTGTATGGTACCTTAATCCTCGGTAACTATTAGCATATGCTTATAACCCTGCCTACAAGGATTCTATAGTTGTATGTAGTGTGTATATATGTTCATATGAACATGAAAGATATAGGCAATAGAAATTAATGCAAAGAGGATTCCGTTATTCATTAAAGTATCCTCTTTTAAATTGTGGATTTATAAATTATAGTGCAGTAACTTTAAATGTAGATAATGCAGACATTCTTAGCACCTCAGTCTAGTGTGTCGAAGTAAACTTTGTATAAATGTAAATTAGTCTAAAAGGACAAAATAATATCTAATCAAGTTATTTTTCAAAAGACTGCAATAAGTTTTTGGTTTAAACCTAAACTTTGTTCATTTTGTATATATTGTGTGTTAATTTTAATTGCACCATTGTGATGTGTATTTATATACAGTGTGCACAAAATGTTTGTGAATTTTTGATTATGATTGTAGATTATGTATGATGGCATTGCTTAAGAATGTTTTGCTTGTTAAAACTTTGAAGGTGCAATCAAATGCTACTAGTCTGACTTTTCAGAAGCTCTCTAAAGTATCGAGCCCTTTCTTTCTGTCTGGTCCTCACTAAGCAACCTTTTGTATTAGGCATTTGCATCAAATCCTGAACAAAATTAATAGCCACATTAATTTACCAATTTTAAAAGATTACTTGGGGAGGGTTCGGTATATAATTTTTAAGCCCTATTACATCCCAAAGTAGAAAGATTATATTTACTAGAGCTATTCAAAAAGTACACTTTTCTATATTGTAAAAACAGGGCAGAAGAATAAATCATACAGAAAATAAACATTTATACTATTCTGTAAGAAAAAAAAGGTTTTGCATTTTTTCTTCAGTTCAATACCAATTTTAACCATTTACCATGCAATAAGCCTTTTTAGTTACCTGATTTTCAAGTACATTTGACATTACTTGTGAAAAAACTTGAAGGCTCTCATCTTTGCACAGTTCACTAGCATGAGTTGCACTGAAATGAGAATATGCCTGTGATTTCCAATGTCTATGGCAGAAATGCGTCTGCTCTGTTAGGTGCAGGATGCTCTCACCACCACCTTCCTTAGTTCTGTGGCTCTGAGGTCGTAGAAGCAGCATGTAGATCTTGTCCTGGAGATGGAAGCTTGGTATTGTAGGCAATGAAGCCAGAGCCCTGGTTGAGGGAGGAGGATGGGCTGGCTTAGCGGCCCCATTTTTTGGTACTTCATAATTGACATTTTGCAATCTTATGTAAAATGTGAATAAAAAATAGCTTCAGAAAGTTTTCCAGTTTTTTTCTGTAATGCAGATTAGAAAAGGAATACTCACTACATCATTGAAGCCTACTTAGGCCCTTCAGCTCCACCTGGGGCAAATCTTAAGCATTCTGGTTTGTTGTACTGTGGGAGATGGAGTCTGGGCCTTGGTAGGCCAAGCTAGCACTCTGTCCCTGGGCTGCAGCCATGGCCCTATCCTAAGCACCGTATGTAGTATTGTTATTTATTCATTAGCTTGCTTCTGTCAGGGATTGAACTTAAGATCTCATGCATGTTGGTCAAGTGTTCTGCTACTGAACTACATTCCCCAGTTGTGAAGCTATTTACGTTCTAGTTCTTTAGTTTCTGTGTAATTCTTTATCTGTAGGTCATATGTGAGGGTTTTTGGTTCTCTCCCTCCTACCCTCCCTCCCTTCTCCTTCCTCTTCCTCCTTCCCTTTGTCCCTCCTTCCCTTCCTCCATCCTACCCTCCTTCCTTCTATCCCTCCCTCCCTCCCTCCCTCCCTCCCTCCCTTCCTCCTACCTTCCCTCCTACTCTCCTTCCCTTTCTCCCTTCTCCCTCCCTCCCTCCTTCCTTCCGTCTCCCTGTTTATTCTAGGCTGGCCTCAAATTCATGACAGTCTTTCTGCCTCAACTTTCCAGGATTCTGGGAGAAATTATTGATGTGAGTCATTCACCTGGCTTTTTTGTTTGGTTGATTTGGTAATTTTGAGGCATTGTCTCATTGTAGCTCAGGCAGGCTCCAGCAAGTAAGGGTTGTGCTGAACCCCTGGTCCTCCTCTCTCCCACCTCCCAGTCTGTGACGTGTGCCACCACACTCAGTGTGTTGTATGGGTTGCTTTTTTGTTTTGTTTTCAAAGATCTATTTTTGTGTGCATGTGGCTGGGGAATGTGGGGTGAGATATGTGAATGGGTACGAGTGCCCCAGAGCAGCGTTGTCAGGTTCCCTGAAGCTGGAGTTGGGGTGGCACCAAAACTCAAGTCTTCTGTCAGAGCAGTAGGCACTCCTAATCACTGAGTGCTCTCTCTGGCCCTAGCTGTGTGTGGTTCTTTGGTTTGTTTTTGTTTTCAAGTGGTTTTTAAAGCCTTGATTGAATCCAGAGCCTTCTACATGCTAAGCAAGCACTGAGGTAGGCTCCAAGATCTACCATTTGAATTTTTTTTTTTTTTTGAGACATGGTCTCACTTTCCTACAGGCAGCTCAACTGTGTAGACTGGAGTGGCCTCAGACCCCCAGACTTTTGCCTGCCTCTGCCCTGCAATTTTGAGGACTAACGATGCTCGCAAAGGCTTTTAATACTTTTTTTTTTTTTAAAGATTTTATTTATTGTGTATACAATACAGTGTGCTGCCTCCATGTATGACTGCAGGCCAGAAGAGGGCACCAGATCTCATTGTAGATGGTTGTGAGCCACCATTTGGTTGCTGGGAATTGAACTCAGGACCTCTGGAAGAACAGTCAGCATCCTTAACCTCTGAGTCATCTCTCCAGCCCCTTTTAATACTTCTTAAATGATAAAGCTTTGTGGTAACATTTAAGACATTCTTAATTGCTAAATATTAAGTATATTCAGGGTGTTATTATAAGATCACTGCAAGTTGTAATTCTATAATAAGGAAATAAAAGCTGACTGTATATAAAAAGAAAACATCATACCAAGATTAAGAGTGAGCCAGTATTTTTTTAATCAGTGTAGTTCACTGGGTTAATATATATCATTGACCATGCATCCTAAAAGTCGCAGGAAGTGATGGTGAGTGAATATAGAAAAAATCCAAATGAGTGTTATAGCACATGTATTATTATATTTCATAAATTCTTTTGCCAAAAATGTAGAAAAATGAGTACCCATTTATAATAAAAAAACAACTCTTAAGCAAACTAAGAATAACCAAATAAAGAGTATTTACAGAATGCTACAGTGACCCACACTCATGGTGAAGTCCAGGTGTTTTCCCTATGTGACTGGGAACAAGACATTACTATTCATTACTTCCTGAAGGTCCTTTGTTTAATAAGGCAGGGGTAGAAGCAGGCCCACAGACAAAATGAATAAGAAGCCTGTGGTTAGATTATGGGCTTGCTTGCACAGAACAATCAACTAGTTTAATGAAAGCTACTACTGAATTTAGAAAGTATACAAGAGACAATTGTATTTCAAATAAATAAACATTATGAAATGGGAGTTTTAAACAGGTATGGTGGCACATGACTTTAATCCCAGCACTCTGGAGGCAGAGGCAGTTGCATCTCTGAGTTCAAGGCCAGCCTGATCTACAGATCGAGTTTTAGGACAACCAGAGGTACACAGAGAAACCCTATCTCGAAAAAAGAAAATAATAAAAAAGAGAAAGAAATGGAAGTTTTAAAATTATAATAGCTTCAAAAATATGAAATATGTGTGTGCAATACAGTCTATATGCTGAAAATTAGAAAACATTGATTTAACAAAGGAAAGGTTTGTCATGCCTTATACAATTTAGTGTTAAACCAGTTCTCAAATTTATCTAAAGATTGAGTAGAACTATGATCAAGTCCCTGTAGGATTTATGTAGTTATTAGCAAGTAGTTGGAAAGGAAAAAACCAGGGCCCAAAACAGGGCCAAAGAGCTCATCAGATCCCTGGGCTGGAGTTACAGATGGTTGGGAGCCACTGCCCAGTTTTACTTAAGTTCTGGTGACCCAAACTCCAGACATTGTTTGCAGGGCCACTGAGCTATCTCCCAATTGATTCCTCACTTCTTAGCTGTCCTTTAAGCTCTACATTCATTTATGTCTTTACCTATAAAAGATAAATAATACATGTTTCGTAGCTGGTCAGAAATTCATAGGCCTGGAGGTCACAGAGGATGGACCTCTCCCTCACAATTAGCAACGTGTAAAACTGGATCGAAACTGCAGGCTCTGATGAAACACCATGACCCAGAGAAAGTTGGGAGGAAAGGGTTTATTTGGCTTACACTTGCACACGGTGGTCCATCACATTGGAGGAAGTCAGAACAGGAACTCAAGCAGAGCAGGAACTGGAGGCAGGCACTGATACAGAGGCCATGGAGGACTGCTGTTTATTGGCTTGCTCAGCCTGCTTTCTATGGAACCTAGGTCCACTAGTCACGTGATAACCCACCTACTATAGACTGGAACCTCTCATGCCAATCACTAATTAAGAGAATGTCCTTAGTCTTCTGGAGGCATTTTTTCTGTTGAGGCTCCCTCCTAGTTGATGATTCTATTTTGTGTCAAGTTGACATAGCCATCACTGAGTAGGGTCTATCTACATAGCCCTGGCTGTCCTGGAACTCACTACGTAGACCAGGCTGGCCTTGAACTTAAGATCCACCTGCCTGTCTTCTAAATGCTGGGACAAAAGGCATACACCGCTATACCTGGTATACGCATCGTCCCCATCCCCTTTTAAAAGTTACTCCAAGTGGGCCTGTCAATCACCTGAGGAGTAACAAAAATAAACCATCTGTTGTAGAGACTTTTTATAAAAGTGTTCCTAAAAATGTAGGCTGGTAAAATAATCTCTTACCAGTGTCCATTCTCACCCCTTGAGTGAGCTTTTATGCCAGTGGTCCCTTGGGCCATGGTTTACTCTCCTTTGAGTATGTACTTCATTATACACTGTTGAACCCCTTTATCCTCAGCAGTTTGCTCTCGAGTCTCATCTGAATTCCTAAATTGGCAATTACAAGAAATGAAGAGCTGAGCTCAGAAGGAGATCCAAATGACACAAAGTTGGAGGATACGATAACATAATTTGTATAACTCTCCTGTGCTATTTTGGATCTTGATAAGTTGAAGCTAGTGTTTATTTTACATAAAAGCTAGGAAATAGCCAGTTGATCGCACGTAAGGAAATAAATATATCTGGTTTTTCAAGAAATTTCAAGGTAGTTAGAAATGCTCTGATCCTGCATATAATACCAGCATCTAATTCCAGCACTCAGGAGGCTGAAACGTCGATCAAGAGATCTAGGTCATCCTTAGCTATATTGGGAGCTTAACGCCAACAATAACAGCAACAAACACCAAAACCAAACAAACTGAAGTCCCAGTGGTGGGGTAGGGGGAACCTCACCTGTCTTAAGACATTCCATAAGGCTGACTGAATCTCCAAGATTGTTGAGGGATGGAATGTTATAGGTCCAGAGCCAAATTATTTTGTGCTATTTTTAGTAAGAGCCAAGAAAGTTGCTTCCCAAAGCAGCACACAGATCTGGTCTAACACACACATCTCCTAACTAGCATGGAGAAGCTTGAGATTGTGTGTGTGTTGGGGGGTGGGGGGTAAGACCAGGGAAATGGGGAGTCAGAAGCAGATTCAAGTGGGAAATGTTCAGAAGAAAGATAACATTTGGAACTTGATGGTCATTTGTGACACATCTAGAATTATCCAGGGATGGGCCTGAGTATGTCTGTGAAGGATTACAGTGACCGGCAAGACTCATCTACTGTGGGAAGGGTATACTGAATAGTATAAACGTGGACACCGACACCGTAAGCTGATCATATTAAAAACGTGCTGTGCATACACCCAATGCTGGGAGGTAGGGAAAGGTGGAACTTGGCTCTCTGGCTTGCCAGCTTGGCCTAATTCGTCATCTTCAGTGACTTAAAAACAACACGTTTGCGACACGGTGTAGGGTCTCGGTCTGCGAAAGCCAATGCAGGAATGTTTAAGGCCTGGTTGGGCTGCATGTATATTTTCGGGTCTGCTTGATCTACACAGGGGGACATCATCCAGAAACACAAAAGGTCCTACTTTTCTCCCCGGTATGCCTTCAACAAGGTATGAATGACTTTCAGAAACCGGGGTTCACATTATGGACCCCAACTCGTGAATTTCCTACCACACCTCTGAAAGGCTGGGATTACTGGCGCTCACAACCACGCCAGCCGCCTACAGCCTCACTTTAAATTAAAAAAT